ATACACAGGCACTGCTCCAAACCTGGCGCAACGTGTTTTGACTGGTGAGCGCCTTTCGCCATGCCCCAAGAGGTAAATTTTACCGAAATTTGTCAATAATTTCACACCCTGCGGCTAGCTCTTCCTGAACAACTTGTTGGCTCTGACGGGAGGGGGAGGGTGGGCGATGCAACAACCCCCCCCCCCCCGCCCTCTTACGGTGTTCTGAGGATACCAGTGCGGCATATTGTGCAGTCTTGTTCAAATCTGTGTTGGCCTCTGGGTCATCCATTGTACGCGTGTCGACACCAAAAAAGTGCCCCTGGCAATTCTGGTTTTGGAGAAGCGAGGTTTTTTTGCGATCATCGCGAGACAGCTTAAGGCCGGCGGGTGCGGCAGGGGGCAAGCGACGATTCTGCGGACCGCGCGCGGAGAGTCGGCACTGTTATATGAACGAACCCCTATATAATACACATGCGCTCCAAACATATAAAACTACATGCTTTTGTAGTCATGATTAAACAAGGGACATGCCTGTTTATGTTTCATGTCACTTCACTACATGGTTTCGTATATACGAACATGCAAAGTTGATGTTTGATGTTCAGGAAAATTCGACCTTTAACCTGGTTTATTGGAGCCACTAGACTTAAGGGGACACTGGAACAGGAGACTTCTTACCAAGCAAGATATTTTGCTAAATACAATTCACTGTTTGTTTGCTTTTTGCGAGGCTTTACCTTTCTTAATTTTCAAACGTCAGAAAGTCCCCCCCCTCCACCAGTCCGCGTTACAAGAACTGGCGAATCAGGGTAAGGATTTAAATTGTTGGCTGTCATGTTTTTTATTCGTTTTATATATGCTGGTGTAAAAATCTGCATTTCAGATCATGAGACCATTAACTGCTACAGCAGAATGGCACATTGAATTACCAACATCCAAACATTGGTAGAAATTAAATCAGCAAGCAAAAATTGCCCTTTGCATGCAAGTAGCATACAAATCAAAGGTTATCTGTGATGTTTGTCACGTATCATGCATGGGTATCAGCTCAAATCAATTTCGGGAGCACTACCCAATATCTACGTTGGTTTGTCCCCTTTAACGCTGATTTCTCCCCTCCCCCCCCCCCTCACCAACATTTCTACCTGGAAAGTTTCAAAAATATATCAGAAAAGCTAACTTTGATACAAAACAATCTTCTCTGGACTTAATTTTTTGACCACGATCAACGGGTTGGTATATCCCCAAATCATGCATAAGAAGTGGCACTGCTGCCATCACTTTTGAAGAAAGGTTTGGAGGCAGTGATAAATTATATAATGTACCACAAGACACGGATGTCTGCAAGATTAGCACACTTACTTCTTCACAAACTTAAGCGGGAGGGTTGGAGCCCTGAACTGAATACAAAGTAGGAACACCCCTGATCTGAAAATGTATTTGACTGGCTACTATTCTCATTCAGGACAAGCTCAAAAGTGGCATAACTTGGCATTTCGAAACTTTATCACCTCCTGTTATGAGGAGTGTCATCAGTCTTCAACATCAAATCCACGGTTCTTTAAAAGGGAAGAAGGCTGGTCGCTTGTGACTGCTTCAATGAGTCATCAGCACATTGGGTGCCTTGAAAAGGCGGTTTGGATAATCACGGGCCAAGTTTTACCTTGATCGGATTATACAGCCGCGACTTACCCTGAACTGTCAATGCCTTTCGTCGCTGAGGACAAGATGCTGGATTACGGCATAGTCAACGAAATGAGCAAGGCTAAAAATGAAGCCCTACGCAGGTGCTCATGACACTACAATGCGAATCCCACTTGCAGAGTTGTAGTGCATTAAAAGTCACATCCCACCTGATATCAGCCACATCGCAACGGTTGAAACGCGCCCTTCTGGTCAGATTAATCCCCATATCTAGATATTTTTCTCAGAGGGCGAGTGTCTGTCTGGGAGTAACCCGCCGCTAGTGGAGCGCACGCAGTGTTGAAATGGTACCGCGGGCTACAAAGTGCCAAATAATCCAGCACCGGCTGGGGGGTACATCTGTGTTTACAAATATGCAGGAAAATAGATTTTCGATGAGTACTCAGCTTGCTTTGATTCTAGTCGCTATTAGGACTTAAAGACGCATTCAACATCTAGGGTCATTAAGCGTCGACATCTATCACAAGAATTGCTAAAAGGACGACAACCTTTCTATCTTGCTGAGTGTGACATGCTATTGCTGAATTATTCTTGCTGCATCATAATGACGTACGTCATGTGGACTACTCTCCTCGTACGTATCATGGCACGTGTGCGATCTCTGGTGTGTACGTGGTATGAGCTCATGGGGATCTCTGGTGTTTACATGGTATGAGCTCATGGAGATCTCCGGTGTGTACATGGTATGAGCTCATGGAGATCTCTGGTGTGTACACGGTATGTGTACATGGTATGAACGAAGTGGTCAGAAAGTAACCAAGCTTGTGGTCCATACATGTGTAAAAACCAACCTTGTTCCTGTTCACCACTGACTTCGCTGCCTTTGAGACATGCGTGGGCCAATATGCGCGGCTTACCATGTTAATGACGCACTGAACTAATATCATCTGGCACAATGAGAAATCTGATGCCCGCCTACATGCTCTGGTGAAAATCCGTAAATGGCGATGCGCAACTCCGAAGTCGGGAAAATCACAAAACTTGCGCTTTGGGCTGGAAATTTAAAATCAGTCACAGAAGTCTTTGTGGTAGGAGACACCAATACCGGGCCTGCAAAGGCTCGCCCATATATAATATTTTATGATAAAGTTGCTCGGATATGTGTAGTGTTCGAGTGACCTCAAAGCATGTGCCCCTCTTGCGCAGTTCCATAGCTTTGCCGCTTTAGAAATAATGTCAATGGGTGCGCTTCGACAGTAAGAGCCGTAGGCACATGCCTTTAAAAAACAAATTGTTGATTCGTTTAAGTGCAAATGGCTGTTTTTTACGAGCTCACCACATGGTAAAATTAATATTCATGCTAGGTCGTATCCGCACATATGAAGACAAAAAATCCTGAGTGTCAACCCAAGTAAGCTTGAAGTAGTTATCAGTCACCGACATTTCATATGACTGTAAAAACTTTCGGCATGGTTTCCGACATGCCTCCCATTCTAGCTTACCTAGTAGGGACCTTCATAGGGACTAGAAGCGTCTCGTGCTTGTGTGTCTCGCTTGCAAAACTACTGGACCATAGCGTAAAAACAAGCTGATGCTACGAGGGAACAAATAGTGCACACCGCTCCAGACATTCTTGAGAAGACCGATCGCACCATTCAATACAGCGACACAGCATGACATGATCCAGCTTCATCACATGTCGTGGCGTTGTATATCGAATATATTGTGGCAGCACAAACATTAATTATCTGTTATCATAAGGTTCACTGACTCCTGATGCATGACAGCCCATGAAAAACCTTAACGTTGCTTTAACCTTATGCCTTAAAACCTTGCCAGGGATAACCTTAACACCCTTGGAGCATTTTTATCAAATTTGGATTAAGTGCAATGAACCTTATACAACCCTCAGCTCCACGCAGTCCCAGTTGCAAACAGCTATAATGCCGTTCAGTCCAAGCTCCACAGAACCCCAGCTCCACGCGGCCCAAGATTCACAGAACTCCAGCTCCACAAGGTTCCTGTTTCACACAACTCTGACTTCGGGAAGTCCCTCTTCACATTTCTCTAGCTCCGCGAAGTCCCTGCTTTACACAACTCTGGCTCAGCGAGGTCATTGGTTGACATAACTGTGGCTCAGCGAAGTCACTGCTTTACACAACTCTGGCTCAGCGAAGTCACTGGTTTACATAACTGTGGCTCAGCGAAGTCACTGGTTTACACAACTCTGGCTCAACGAAGTCACCGGTTTGCACAACTCTGGCTCAGCGAAGTTACTGGTTTACATAACTGTGGCTCAGCGAAGTCACTGGTTGACATAACTGTGGCTCAGCGAAGTCACTGCTTTACACAACTCTGGCTCAGCGAAGTCACTGGTTTACATAACTGTGGCTCAGCGAAGTCACTGGTTTACACAACTCTGGCTCAGCGAAGTCACTGGTTTACATAACTGTGGCTCAGCGAAGTCACTGGTTGACATAACTGTGGCTCAGCGAAGTCACTGCTTTACACAACTCTGGCTCAGCGAAGTCACTGGTTTACACAACTCTGGCTCAGCGAAGTCACTGGTTGACATAACTGTGGCTCAGCGAAGTCACTGGTTTACACAACTCTGGCTTAGCGAAGTCACTGGTTTACATAACTGTGGCTCAGCGAAGTCACTGGTTGACATAACTGTGGCTCAGCGAAGTCACTGGTTGACATAACTGTGGCTCAGCGAAGTCACTGGTTGACATAACTGTGGCTCAGCGAAGTCACTGGTTGACATAACTGTGGCTCAGCGAAGTCACTGGTTGACATAACTGTGGCTCAGCGAAGTCACTGGTTGACATAACTGTGGCTCAGCGAAGTCACTGGTTGGCATAACTGTGGCTCAGCGAAGTCACTGGTTTACACAACTCTGGCTCAGCGAAGTCACTGGTTTACATAACTCTGGCTCCACATGGTCGCTGCCCTGTTTCACACAACTGTAGCTCTGCGCAGCCCCAACCCCTTGCCATCCCAACTCTACACAGGCCCCACTGCCCATAGCCACAGCTCCATGCAGTCACTGCTCCTCACCGGCCCAATTACCCGCAGTCCCAACTCCACGCCATCCCCACTCGCACAGTCCCTACTTCACACAATCCCCATTCCCCACAGTCCCAACTCCACACAATCCCCACTCCCCACAGTCCCAACTCCACACAATCCCCACTCTCCACAGTCCCAACTCCACACGATCCCAACTCCCCACAGTCCCAACTTAACACAATCCCACTCCCCACAGTCCCAACTCCACACAATCTCCACTCCCCGCAGTCCCAACTCCACACAATCCCAACTCCACACAATCCCCACTCCACACAGTCCCAGCTCCACACAGCACCATCTTCTCACACTCCCAGCTCCTTCAGCATCAGCTCTCGCTTACCGGTCGGCAATGCCGCAGGCGTCATTCCCGCGAGCAGCACGTGCACCTTGATGTACATGCCGGCGTGTTTATCAGAGCGGCCGCACCACCCGGCCAGGCAAGACCGAAACCTGCCAGCGCCAGATCGGTCAGGGGTCAACGCCGGGTCGGTCCGGTGTCAGCACGGGTTAACCCCTGTCACCGGTCACCGGTCACCACCGGTCACCGCTCACCCCTGGTCACCGGTCACCACCGGTCACGGGTCAGCGCCAGACCGGGCAATGGATGCCTGGGAGGAACAAAGTTAGGTATATAATTGCGGTGCAATACTAGAAATATACTATATGTGCAATGTTAGCTATGACTTTAGCTCACAATTAACGGTTGGAAGCCTCTAACTGAAGGCAGCATGGCGCAGATGCTACAATGATGAATGCACTTAAACTTAAGAGGTTGTTACGTCGATATGTCTTCAAGACTCGGGAGGAACTGAACACTGCATTATACCAATGGCACGCGTTAGCTGGCAGAAAACGCTTCAACGAATTACATAGCGAACTTGTAGATAGGTTCTGGATCGCTCCCGCCACGAACGCACGACTTCTCTTTTGTATATCCGGCATTTCACCTGTGAGGCTATTGAGACCATCTAGCACATCTCGAATAGGGAAAAATATGGCGTGTCGTGCATAAAAATTCGGCCCGGCGGCAACTTTCATAACAATTTTTGTTTTAAACTGTTGTAGGACCCACTTTTAACTCCCATCTACCCCAAATCGGTAAGCAATCTCTACGTAGGAAATTTTTTGCTGCAAATCGCCATTTCATATGGGCGCGTAGCATATCTGACCATGGTTTTTTAGCTTCTTTTGCTCGATCAGAAAAGAAACTCACGCGAAAATGACTTACGACGATAATGTTATGCTAAAAGAGATGCTCTTGATATGCGCACTAAATGCTCCGCAACATTGTGTGCTGATATGAACAAAAGTTATGACAAGATTCGAACCAATTCATAAAAATCCTTTTCAAAGATGTTCCTGCAAGCAAAGCCAGTTTAGGTCGCAAAAAGCGAGGCAATCTCAATTCTAATGAAGTTCAGTAGCTTTATCACGGGCAATGTTTGAATACATAAGCCAAGAGAAGGCGGACCCCTTTAAAATGTCTGGACTGAATTCTTGATTTTCGGGCGTCAGTCAATGTGGCCATGTGTGGCTTTCGTCTTCCCTGATATGTAGTGGGAACAACACGGTCCACTCTACTACAGAGGTCAATATACGCAAAAACAGCAAAACATGGCAAACTTCAAAACCATCAGATGGTTCCAAACTACTGCAGTCAGGACCAGTTTGATGTTAACTTACTTAACACAACTGCGGCCTTAAGTTTTCCGCATTTCGTGTGTTTCTATGTTTCATACTTTCTGAGATTGTGGAAGGAACACGGACCCCAGTCCACTTCAGAATGAAAAGTGTCATGGCACATGCAGGGTCTGTGTCGAAGCATCGTCAGCGATAAGCAATCGGCTATACTTCTGAAAACATCAGTTGGGTCCAGTTTGTGTAGATGTACTTTGTTCGAGAAAACGGAACCGTTTTTTGTCTCATCCCCTAATCCTGTGATAAAAATGAACTATTTTTGTCGAGCAGCATGTGACACAGTCTTAGCGATTAAAGCTTTGTGTGAGCATTGTGCTTGATTTGGTAGCTATAAATGGCAGCTATAAACTCACCGGTGCCTAACTCGCGTTCTAAAACTTGCTTCCCCAGCATAACATGAAGCGGTATAACCTTTTGACAGCTGGACTACCATTGCGGAGGTGTGGGTCTTTCTCGGCGTACGTCACTCTCCCACGCTTGCTCCGTGGCGGTCTTGCCATGGTGTGGCATTCCAAATCGTATCACGCGTACGCATGCATATGTATTGTAACAGGAAAGGAAAAGCGCAATTTTTTATTTAATGACCCGGAACAGCAGTCGCGGGGTTTGGAGCTTGCCCATATTCTTCCGATGTCAGGTACTGAGGCTTTCTCTAGCACACCTCGTGCGGCGGGACAGTGTGATCACACACTCACTAATCGTTGCCTTAAGACACGTGGTGAAACGCAGCTCCCGCCATGATGAATTTGCATTATTCTGTTTCAAAAACTCACCTGAGCTACGTCTGGTTAAAAAAGAAGCACAAAGTATTCTCTCCTGTAGTTAAATTTCACCGTTCCCCCAAAAAACGAGGTAAGGAATTTTTGAATTTTGCATCGACTTCTAGCTTAAGCTGCTTTTTTGAAATAACTGAGACACTCGAGAGCGGTCTAGAGCGGTGCCAACTGAAAGAGGAAATTACAAGGAAAACAGTGGTGTGGCGGAAAATAAAAATAGGAAGAGTGAGCAAATGGAGCATAGACTATTATCTGCGCCTGAGACCGCGATTTTATCTCTTTTTTAGATTCTGGGACCGCGCTTTCATCGCAAGGTGGAATGTTATGGAAGCAGTACATGACACCATGACCTTGTTGGACTTACATGACCTTCCTTTGTCATGGATAAGGTTGCATTGTAGCTTGGTATCATGAGCTACTGATATCCATGAATGGAAAACTTTGAGCAATTCTATCATACACTTCCCAATGAGTGTAGTCCAAATCGTTTCATTAGATGAATTAGTCTATACTGAGGGTTGTATGAGACTCCAGACCCCATCATCCAATCGGAAATTGCTGTTCAACAGCATTATTTTGTGGCACCAGTTAAACGCACCACAGTACTTGTGCGTGCCTTTGAGAGCTGTTTTTGTGTGCCAACAAAAGTTTTCACAAGGTGCTCCTGTATGCTGAACGGTCTCTGGCCTGGTGGCCCGAATCCCGGCCACATCCTGGTCTTTGACGGTGACTGTTATTGAGATAAGGAGATAGCTTCCAATGGTTTCTTTGACGACTGACGCTGACCTGGTTCACTTCGAAACCGTTTTTGGGTACTGCTTTTGTCGTGTGAACTCCCTGGCCCAGACATGAGGACACATCTCGGCCTTTGACTTCAGTGACCATGAGGGCGCCTCTAAACGACTTCCTGTGACAAATGCCAGTGGCCCGGATGGTTCGAAAAAGCTAACTTGCAGAATCACGCATGAGCTGAACTGTCGTCGCATAAAATGAGTATACTCCTGCATATCTTCTGCTATGTTTATCTGGACTCATCGCATATCGACATGAATATCCATCACTGGTATAAGACAAAATGCAAAAATATACACTCCTGCTCGGTGTTAGATTTTAGATACGTTTGTATACACTGGCGTGAAGCGGCAAACCTTCTGGGATATAATGCCATTTGACAGCACTCTTGAAAAAGGGAAAAGGATCGCACGTTATCAAACACGAGGCACTCGGCACTTTTTTGAAAATTTCGGACTGACTATCTCGTCCGCACCGTCCACCGGGACATGCAGAGCCCAGCTGGTGGCAATATGACGTCATTCGAGACTGCTGACTGTGTCCCCCTGTCCCCCTCGCACGTGCATGTGGCACCGGGCGCCTGAATCAAAACACGCCTCGCTGCACCTTCGATCGATCGGCTCGCTATTGGTATGCTCGCGTTTCAAGCCACCGCGGCTGTCGGCGGCCCGGCTAGCGGCTCTAGCCCTCAGAGGCCTGTTGCGCCAGATTTGCCTGGTTTACGCTTTAGAATGACTGCTAGCGCCGCCCGAACGTTGCCAAGAGACAGCGCCGATGCGCGCGGATCGGGTGTGGTGTCGGCCGCGCGAGAGCCCGGCTTCGGGCGCCCCACTGTCCTGTGCTGAGGCCAGGGTAATAGAAACGCTGGGTATAGCCGAGCCAAAGTTGTAGAAAATTAGAACAATTTGAGAAAATTTGCATTATCGTGCTGGTTTAACGTGGCAAACCTGTGGGCACGTTCGCTGACTTCGAAAGAAGGCGCTCCACGGTAAGCCTCACAAACATCACCATGTCATTGCCACGCTTTTCACAAATTACAGCAGTTTTTAGGCGGTTCTGCTTTGATAAATGTCACACCACCCTGCTCAGTGCTCTTCAGATTGGCTCGTCACAAATTGGTCCGTCGATTGATCAGTGGGGGAGAGCTCCGCGGCGCGCGGTCGGTCGCCCTCGGCCGCTTTGTGGATCGCCATAGGCGGGCCGGCCGTAAAACGGTGCACAATCGTAATTTGCAATGTTGCAGCCCAATGACGTGCCGCGCGATCTTGTCATGAACGAATGCCACTATATGTCGGTAATCAGACACCTCTTTATCCTGGTCTGTCATAATTTCAAGATCTGTAAATCGCCATGCTGACCTTGTTTCAAATGCGTGTTTGCTATACTTGGCAGCGCACCTGGGCTAGATGAAGATTTCTAGATATGGCTCGTATGTGCGGATGGAGCCTGTCTGGAAGAAAGGGTTCTGGTGTTCCGGCATTATGAGTTGAAAGTTCTTATGTCCAGTAAGCGAACTTCGATATATCAGGAATTATTGGTAAAAGATGTCGTGAAAAATGTTAAATGGCGGTGATAACAAATACCAAAATAGCATAATTCATAAACAGCCAAAGAACGAATAGTTTCCTGATACACTGAAGGTCGTTAAATCGACACAAGAAATTTCAACTCATGATGTTGCCCATGTGGAACCCACCTATGATCCGTGTGGTGACTGGTGCATTCTCTTGCTTTCTACTTCGGGATTTATACTTTTTACTTAATCGCAACCTCCCAACCAGCCGCCTGCGTTTCGTGTAGCAAAAAGCGGAGTGTGGAGTATTGGGTGTTATGATGGAGCTCAGATGAGGATTAACTGTCACATTTTTCGTGCAATGTACGCACTGCTTCGGATTATTTTACGCATTCACGTGCTTGGTTCTTAAATTCAATTAACTTCTTAACCTTGCTCACCGGTGGCCATGACCACACTTGGAAATGTCGAGTTTGTTTTCGATGTGGCCGCTCAAGTTTACCTGTGAATGGGATGAATACCACTGACTTTTTTCTCCCCAGTATGACGGTAATACTTGTATTCCTTTCTTTTTTCTAACAAGTCTCTTGTGTTCGTAATGTACCAATGGGCCAGCGTGTAATAACATAACTTGTATTACTTTCTTTTTTCTAACAAGTCTCTTGTGTTCGTAATGTACCAATGGGCCAGCGCGCGTGTGCAATAAACACTACGATTGCTTGAAACACCCTATTTTAGAAAAAGATATAGACAACTTTGAGATCATTGCTACGCGAATTTCGCGAAGCGTCTTGCTGTGACTTTGATGCTTCCCTGTGATGACTAGCAGTGGCCTTTTCAAAAACATGAAATTTGTATTTTTATCTTTGGGAAACACTGTCTGCCTGGATGCTCATTGTGAACTTGGACGCTTAGTGCGTCGCAAGGTTGCGTTTACCAGCTACGAATGTTCCAGTGGCATACCGTTAGTCCAGTGACGCACATTTTCCAGCCCCCACCGAAACGCCGATCGGTGGACGGCTGGCGCTGGCCGCCGCGCCAATCACAGATGCTTATTTCTAGTGACGTCACTCACACTCCTGAATGGCAGAATACATTCTGACCATCACATTACAGGTGTACTAAGAAAAGCTCGCTGCGGTTTGCGTGCCACTCTTTCTCGCCGGCATACCAGCTTCCATGTCGGTTGTGAAGGAGATCGCTGTCATTATCCCAAGCGCAGTGGCAGAGAGTACGATAAATGTATCAATTGAATGTACCGTATGCACCAAGATAACCCGTTCCAAAAAGATAACTTGGGACTATTAAGAAAGAAAGCAGGAGCTTAGGGCCGCGTCGAAGTGTTGTTTGCGTCAGTTGGACAATGTGAACGAAATATGTATTTCCTTACTGTATGTTGCTGGCCTTGCAGTGACACACTCCATTGTTGTTATTAGACATAACTGATCCCGAGGGCCTCGCCGGGGTGTCTTTTTGAAACATGCCCAAAGGCGGCATACTCCCCCTGCATAGTAACTTCTGATAAAACGTGGATAATTGTCAGAGCAAGAACTCTCAATTCCCCATACAACAATGAAAAGTCTGCTACTCTACAATCAAATACTTTATAGTGTTTGGACACCTTGTCGCAATAAGCCTAAGGGAAACACAGTCCTCATACAAGCAGCAGCGTCGTAAGGTTTGTTCTAGGCTCAACCTCAACAGATATGAAGGCGTGGAATTATATGTCCCATCCAAATAAAACTAGAGCAGTAAATATCAACAAGTTGCACCTTATTTGACGGAGTTGACTGACCTTCCGTTCATCCAGAAGTAAATGAATGGGTTGACCATAGAATGAGACATTGCGAGCCAGTAGAATCCCAGGAACAGGTGCTGAAAACAACGAGCCACAGTAAAACAAACGCAAAATGACGTCACGGTGGACACTTCCTCTGTCGAAGTTCATAACGCGATAGCAGAGTGTCGGTCATATATATATATATATATATATATATATATATATATATATATATATATATATATATATTGATGCATGTATCACATGCTGAGTTTCTGGCTGGTTGTTCAGTTCCTACATGTTGAACTTCATTGATTCCAGTGATATCGGCCGTGTAAATATAACAATTTTTGGTTAAAAAACTAAAGGGATTTACCGGTTGAGTCTAGAACAGGCTAAGAATTGGAGCAGTGCAGAGGCGCCCTGGCACAAGGTAGGAGCATTGCCACTTAAAGAAGAACAGGCGATGGAATCAGCGAAACAGCGCGACTGCCTGTCACACATAGATGCCATATATTTACCATGGATGCATCATGGTTTGCTAGCTGTTCCTTTATGAGAGCCGGCTGTACAACACATAAAATGACTCGTCCGCGAAACACATTACCAGGGCGCGAAGCACATTACCAGGCCGCGTACATTACCAGGCTGCGTACCTGGACGTATTTCCGTCGGGCGAGCCATGAGTCGTGGTAGGTGTACACGCATGACGCCTGGTGAGGTAGCCACAGGAGAGCGAACGCCACCACCACCACTATGAACTTGCGGGCGATCTGTCGACGAGGCGGGAGGAGACGTGAGACATGCGTGGGACGGCATGGGAGATGAGACTGAGACAGACGTGGGACGGCATGAGGGAGGAGACGTGAGACAGGCGTTCGACGGCATGAGGGAGGAGACGTGAGACAGGCGTGGGACGGTATGGGAGGGGAGACGTGACATGGACGTGAGACGGCACGAGAGATGAGACTGAAATGGACGTGGGACGGTATGAGGGGGGAGACGTGAGACAGGCGTAGGACGGTATGAGAGGGGAGACGTGAGACGGACGTGGGACGGCATGAGAGACGAGACGTCACCAGGCGCGGGGAACGAGAACAGTGAGAAGCACGTCACTCGAAACGAAACCGGAGAGACGCAGGTGTGATGGTAGGTGGCAGCAGTGAGCCGAAGCAGGGTGCGTCGTGTGAAAATGATCACATGGCCGGGTGAGCGGTCATCACACAGCATGGTGAGCGGCGGCCGAGGTGAGCATTTCCAGACGCTGATTTTACGCGAAACCCGCCGTTGTGTCGTCATGCCGCGCGCTATATTATACGTTGAAAATGCCTCGGAAACTCTTTCTGCAGTAAGAATCTTACAAGAAAAATAGCACTCACGTACAAAAACAAGCACATATCTAAGTACATGACGGCAGCTTAAACAGGAAAGGTAAACTTGGATGACTAATGGCAAAAACCGTCACTGTAATTTTATTTCAAGATATATTCTGTTTTCAGAGTAAGTAGGCTTGTTTCAGTGCTGTCTTAATTGCACTGTTTACAGTGATGGTATGTTTCGAATAGCTTGTATCAGCAGTATACTTCCAAAATTTTAGCTCAGTTTGCCTCCCGTATAAAAATACACTTCAGGAACATTGCTGAAAGTCAATTCGGGTAATCCCAAGCAGATCAGAATATTATAAATGCAACTTGTTGCGTGAGAAAATCAGAAATACTGGTTGTTGAACTAAACCTTACAATATCGTTTGAAGTTGACCTCATCATTCTTGTAACTGTTTCCACCATGCAAACGAATCTATTAGCCTATTTGTCTCTGATAAACAACACGTGAGATAAACGGCAGCGAAATTCGTGAAAAATCCTCAGGTCTATTAAAATAGGTCGCTTAGTTTATTCAAGAAGCGTTTTCGTTTCATTATTACGCATTTCTTTGCATTTGCGTTTGCGGTACTTTTGATTTGGTTCCATGGGTTTAAAGTTGGAATTTTCAAATCATGGACACTGCATGGCAAGGAATGTATATATATATATATATATATATATATATATATATACACAAATATATACATTAAGAAGCACTGCTGTTGCCTGGCTGACCTTTCGTCGGGAGCGGATGGCTGAGAGCTCGGCGGTCGTTTTGAAGCCGGTGCGACCAGACCTCCACAGCTGGCGGCCTGTAGTGACGTCACATGCACGGTGATGACATCATACGCGGTCTCTTGCCCGAGTGCCTCGGCAAACATGCGGGTGCGGTTTAAATGGCGGTATCTAGCGGGATCTAAGGCCAGTTCTGGACCATCTAAGGCCATGGATCTAAGGCCAGATCTCCAGATTGTCGAGGCGCGGACGAGTTTGTGATTTTGATTGCTGATGCTTCGGTGAAAGGGACACCTGTATAATGCAAGGGCTTCTTACCCGGGTGCTGCCAACTTAAGCGTGCTCACCACCTGAGAAGATGCATCCTTAAATCAATCGCACGGTAAGCATCACACAAAGCAAAGGGAGGAAGTCCTTACCAAAGACAGACGTTGTCAACTCTCACCATTGGCCCCGGGTTGAAATACTTACCAATTATCGTGTAGCAAATGGCCATGAACAGCATGGGCAGGATGTAGGTGAGACAGAGGAAGACGATGCTGTACCTACAAAACAGACGGCACGTCAGTGACACTTCGACTGTGCGCGAAACATTGTTTTGTGACAGCTGTAACGGCAGCGTCTAAAGGGCTGCCCAGTGCGAGAGCTTTGAAATGTGTGAAGGCTTTCCCCGTTCAGGGGGCGCTCAAGGCGGTGGTTCAACCATAATCGTCGTGACACATAAATGTTCGACTGGTAGGGGTGAGCACAGCCGCCCGCATGCAGACTCGCACACAAGCAAAACAGACGCCTCAAGGGCCGGTGGCGTCATGTTTATGCACAAACACGGCAGAGAAGCTCACCATACAACGGGTGGACCATAAGGGCTTCATAGGCAGATCATCACCACTATCGCCAGCATAGTCATGGCCTTAATACGAGCTGAGCTCAGCTACCGTGCGGACCACGTCCACTGCTCCCACGATAATAGCCTCAGTAAGTGAGCTGAGCCCCCGCCTGCCTGCTGCGGGCAGGGACTGAGAGGTACTTTTGTTGCGCGCGGCGATGGCCACCAGCCGGCGCTGTGGAGTGATGCCGGGGCATGACAGCCACCTCACCACTGCCCGCCACGGCGCGACCTAGCGAGCCACAGTGCGAGTCAGTGCAGTGTCAGCCGAGTCAAAGTCAGGGTTAGCGCCGACTCGCTGCTGACTCGCTGCTGACTCAGTGCTGGCTACTCACACGTGATCGGCGAATGAGGTTTGCGGTAGTCCGTCGGGCCAGACCAGAACGCAGCCGCACACCTCGTCGCCGGAGGGTAGCCTGCTGTCGCAAACGGCCACACTGTCAGTGGCACTGAAACGGTCCCAGAACGGCGGGCTGATAATGGCGGATTATTACAGGTCATTGCGGATTACCACGGCACAATACGAGGTTTGATCACAGGTACCTCTGCCATGCAGAACGAGTTAGAGGCGGGTTCGTTAAACGCAAGTACGAGCGTTTACTGACCGCCAGTCTTTTTTCAGGAAAGGTAATGACTTGTCTTTCAGGCCAGACTTGTCTTTCGGGTCACTGGGTGGCGTTGCCGGGCCGGGCGTCCGCCGCTGGCCCGAGACGGTTATATGTGTAGACTAGAGTGGTGGCGGGCGCCTGGCCCGTGTCGGCTTACGGATCGGGCGAGTGGGCGGTGGGTCGTGGGCTTCCTGGCGGCGATGACCATATCTTGTTATTGTTAGGAGAGGCGATCAGATATAAGCGTTCCGCCTATGCGCCAATCCACCCTTCATATTATGTACTGCTTAATGTTCATAATAGAAAATAAACGTCAAAATCAAATCAAATGAAGTAGAATGTTCGAAGGCAAGGTTTTGTTTGTTGGGCTATTTGGATTAGAGAGTCTTTTTGACCAGTATTGATTCCTTCAGGGCTAAGGGATGAAAAAACGGGTAACGGCGTGACAGGTCTATATGCGTCTGGGCACCCAACTGTCGGGACGAAGCCCGTGCAGGGACCCCTCTGCGGGACATGTGACCGGCGTCCGAGTGAGAACCGCAGGAAGGGGCGCTTTGGCCCACTCCTGGCTGGCGCATGCGGCCCTCCTGGACAAACGGAGCGTCGCGAGGTTGCAGAATGACGCGAGAGAAAAAAGAGAAGGGGTGGGTGATTGAACACCAATTACGTTTTGTGCTTTATCGCCGTAACTTGGGCAGTATTGTGAGTTATGACGAAAAAGACTGGGAATCGAATAACTTAGCTGCACCCAGCCGGCGGGGGAAGTTCACTTCCCCCTACGGTTTTTCGAACACATATCGAAAGAAGACGCCAGCCAAATACAAACGCCAGCAGCAACATGAAATGATCAGCACCTGCTGATCTCTGAATTTGGCGTCCTTCGTGGAAATTCCAAGCTTTGAGCTACCAAGATTAGTGACCTAGCGAGGGTCAAAAAGGCCAGCCTCCCAAAAGCTGACCACATATAACCTTTTGTGGGTCATTGGCTACTGTTAAAACTTGTTATAGCAATACCACATGCTAGTACCTGCAGTTTCCATGTTTAAGATTTTTTTGCAAAATGCTACGTTACTGACCTTGAGTCAGGTAAATTTCTATGTTCAAAGATAATGCAAATTGGTACGAATTTGTGTGGAGTTCTGGTGTTTGTACACGAGCAAAAGAGTACCAGCTCACCTGCACAACCACGATATGACCACATGACCGCACATGACCTTGACCCAGGCCATGATCTACTTCTATGGGTTCCTTTTGCTAAGCACATTCTGAGCACTCGCTTTTCCCGGAGCATTCCAGAGGCGGAGAACATTCCCTTTAAAGACGGGGCTCCACATTTTTCACATTTATACGAGGGATTGAAGGTGAAGCAGCCATCCTGAAGACCAGTTGGTGCAATTCATAGCTCTATCCTTCTTAAAACCTAAACCCCTCTAGTTTCCGAACATTCTCGTAAAGATGTGCAGACAATTTCGTGCAAGCTATTTCAATGTCACTCAGGTGTCCAGGACACCGTAATAAAGACATTCAAATCCTATCATTCCACTAATCATGCGCGATCAAGTCCAAGACAAAAAATATTTGTCGAGTCGTTTATATCTGGCGTTTTGGAGCACGATTTTCAGATATAACGGCCGTCAGCTGGGTCTCAATCAACGTTGCGTAAAGTACGACGACGATGCCGCATTTAGAAACACATCTTTTAGTCAGAGAAACTGTGCTGTCTAGAGAAGTTTTTTTACTTAAGACCATGCCAGAAATTATAAGGAAACTAAGCATATCTGGTGGGTGCTTCAATATCTCCAAATGTGGAGCATGTTCATTAAGTACTGCGTCATAACCGAATATGTGAATGAAAGTAAACACATAAAAAGGGCCAAAGCATCCGCACGTCTCGACACTTGGATTATGCAAACATCGCATCGATTACCACCCCACCTATTGACACGTTGAAGTACTACAGGTGTGTCGGTTCGTCCGCTACGGTGGCAATTTTTCAAGGCCAGTTTGCAAGCCGTTCGACAACCGTACAAACGTTCCATGACGCGATCGAACGATGCGGTTTTGAGGAACATAGTTACCATGGTTTGCTAGATCAGTCTTTTGAATTTGAAAGTACAAAAAGCACATACCATTTGTATGAAACTGGCTTATTTCATGCTATCTGATGCTTGATTTAATATCATGAAACACGAATAATTACTTTAAAACCCATTCAGGCTCAGTACAAAGTGAGCAGGATTTGCTGAGCGGCAACGAAATTGTATAAAAAAGAACAAGAGCAAGACAGGATGTGGGGAGCAGTGCAATTGAATTACATAACTAAAATGCAGCAAATAGTGCGGAAATTTATTTCTCTCCTTTAACGTCATGCATATAGAGCAAAGCGCCTGTTGTGACCTATCCCACCCTTCCCCTGCCCAAGATAACCCGAGCAGCGCGAGAGTAACTGCATCTGTAACAGACATCGCTACTTCTATGAAACGTTGACGGTACCTGTTGATGCCCATCGCTACCAGTGTAGTCTTGCTGTCGCTGGAACTTGATGGCACGCCAACGAAGTGCTCTTAACAAAAGTGCAACAATGCATACCACCCAGTGATGCGGGTATGGGTGAGAACCTGCCGCCTGTTCTGGACTTTCTGGACCGCATGAATGCTCCCAATACCCTGCGTCGCGAGCTTTCTCAGCATTTCAGGTGGTCATTCCTACCTTGTAGCTGATTGTCAGGCGTGTGTAGCAGGCCAAGTAACTCGCAGTGAAAGAAGCATTGAGACCAGGCTTGTCGAATGATAATGCACTGCCAGTGCGCTAGAGTTCGTTCTTCAGCGCTTAGCAACCCTTCGTTGCACATGGTGGACACACTCGTTATCGTCAATCACGGCGATTCTATTACTTTTTGTGTTTCATGCAAACTATTTGTATTGTCGGATTCCTCAGATCAGCATCCACGCTCAACACGATTTGCTGTCCCGATGAAACCCTGGTGACACCATCGATCGTGAGATCCTCAGTCAGCGGCAGAATTCGTCCGAGCAGAAAAGCGTAACGTGCCGAAGTGCTCGGCGCGATACGTCCTGCCCATCAATATCACTTGATCTTTAAAGCGACTACTATCATCGGCCGCAGGTGGTGCCAGTCAGTTGCAATTTGCAAGTACTCAAAGCGTCTTGAGCCCATCCCGCCACAGTGGGTGAGTTCGAATGCGGACGCTCTGACAAACTGAGCTAACGGGGCAGGCTTCTTGCTTTTCTTCAGTTAAGTATAATTATTCCACTAAGCTATTTATCCATGTAAGTGGATCAACAAAGTTTATTTTCGGATTGTTCAACTGTGATTTTTTAGTGGACGAAGTTTGCGAGACTCTGTATGTGAGTTCATATCGTTGTCCATCGAAGTACCTCACGCACATCATTACCATCTGGCGGGCACTCAGTACACCAGGGTATAGACGCATACGACTAATTAAATTTCACCAGCATCACCAAAACTCGGTCGAACTCCGCATTGACTGGATCCATGATGGACAATTCGTTTCAAATCGTGCGAGCGTTGCGCACAGCACGGGTGCTGTTGAGATTTACAACAGAGAAATACGCTCATCTTAACAGCAGCTGCTAAAATACTGCGCCGATTCAGAAACGTGTCACCCAATGGTACCTGCTACCCGTGTTACCCTGCCAGTGTTGCGGCCTAAGGGAACTCGTGACCTTCCTCCTCCCCCCCCCCCCCCCGTTAGGTTTGAGCGCAGTTTGCACCACGACACTACTGAAAATAATTCCGGATGACATCTTTACGACTGCAGCCCTACGGCATCCTTAAGACTGCACCCCGACTGCACCCTTACGACTGCACCCCGACGGCACCTCTACGATCGCAGCACCACGACCTCGCGACTGCATCCCGACATCCTTAGGTTTGCACCCCGACGGAACCCTTACGATGGCACCCTTATGACTGCACCATGAATGCAACCTTTACGACTGCACCGCCACGACTGTACAACGACGAAATCATTAAGACTGCACCTCGACTGCAGCCTTAGGACTGCACCCCGACTGCATCCTAACAACCACATTCTGACTGCACCCTTACGACTGCATCCCGACTGCACCCTTACGACTGCATCCCGACTGCACCCTTACGACTGTACCCCGACGGCACCTTTACGATCGTAGCACGACAACTTCACTTACGACTGCACCACGACGACACCCTAACGGCTGCAGTGCGCTCACCGGTGCGTGATGATGTCCGAGTAGAGCAGGTATGGTACCGACAGGCAGCCGCTGCACACCCAGATGAGAATGATGGAGCCGACCACCTCGCCGCGCCGTATCTTGCGGCGTAGCGGCCGCACGATCACCATGTATCTGCAGGTCAGTCCCAGAGCCGTGACGCCTCGGCCGGCACACTGCCGTCACGCGGCGAGTCACGACCAGCTGAGCGTCACGCCCGCGAGCGGCGGACCGTGCGGTCCTCGGAAGGACCGCGGACCGCGGTCCCCTGAAGTGACCAGCTGGCGGCGGGTGAGACCTGCCGCCAGTTGGCGCACGTGGATCCTCGCAGGCGTGAGATGGAGACTGCTAACTCAAAATCGCCGTCTGCGGCTGGTCGTGAGTCGCAGCATTCCAGCCATGAAACGGACCACCGGCCGCTTCGCCACTAGCCACGGGTCGCCGCTTGCGTGGCAGGCTTTGTTACACATGCGACACGTCAAACATCATTTCGGGAATCTATGGGTACTGTCGTTCCACAGAGCTTCTCTAGCTTGTTTACATTTCTCGCCAATAATGTGCAGTTTGGAAGGAATCCGCCAGGGGCTAAAGTCAGAGGGTCGTGTGATAACGGCGTATCTTTCCATGCATCGCCGGTATATCTCATGCCTCATGTTGCACGGTTTAAGCGACATGCTCTCCGTCCCCTAGGCAAATCCCATTCCTTCAGACACATGCGAGCAGAGGAGTGTCAGCCTTTCGCACTGGATGACGGGCTGGCGTCTGTGCATGCAGTGCCCATGCAGCTTGGGGTATGCCCTGGTGTGTGTTGCTACGTGCCCACACATGTCTCTGCGCAATGTAGAAGCACATTTGATGTCAAGTTCACGCAGTGGTGTTTCAGTTCACCAACTAATTGAGAAGTGTTGACCTCACATTTCAGGGGCATGAGGTGCTCACATGCATTGGATCTGCAATGTTGCGTGCAAGACGCATTCGTAAGAGATGGATTCCTTGCCAAAGCACGATTCTAACTGAATGCAAGTGAAGCGCGATCACGTACGTAGATATGACAGCAGTATTAGCCTTATTCCTCGAAGAAAAAAAACAGGAGAATGGAGATATAGCTGGGTTGATATTTCGGCAACATGCCTTATCGAAACAATAGCAGAAGTCAAAGAGACTTACCCACTGTAGAAACCTCTGCTATTATTTCGATAAAGTCATGTTGCTGAAATATGAACCCAACTACATCTCCATTCTCCTGGTTTTTCTCCGGGGAATAAGGCCAATACTGCTGTTTTATCTATGTGAACTATGTCCCCCGCTAATGCACTGAGCAACTTGCGATCACGTACGCCTCAACCTCACTGCCAGCAGTGACCAAAGCGTAGCTCACATCAGTGGTTTTGAACAGTGTCGCTCTTTGCACCCCTGCCTTGCGGAGTTTCGAGGCGCAGCTTTGTGTGTTTTATGTTGGCCGCATACCCATCCCCGCGCTTCCCGTCAGGCGTTCTTCTATGGTGGGCATGTGATATCTTTCAGATGAAACAGTTTAGTAGGAAAGCTTGGTCGGAAGTCTCTGGCGCTGGCGCTGGCGCTGGCGCTGGCGCGCTGAGCTAGACGTCCTCGGACGTTGGTGAACTTATCGTGCAGTGGTTTTACGTTTACGGTGCATCAACAGCGTGGACCCTGGACCTGCGTCACGAGCATTCCGTTAAAACCTTACTTCCGGCAGATCATCCATCTCTAAGCTCAGACGTCGCCTCGCAGAGCTGCATTTCAGCTCGGTATCCGGCAACCCCGCCGCGGTCGCGTGGATCCATCTTCCCTCGTCACACGGCCTCCTGACCTCGCCGAGGACCTGCCGAAGTGCATCCTTACCATTTCCCTTACCATCGCACGCAGCGTTCACATAACACTGCCACCCCGGAAATAAAGTCCACCTTTCGATCGAGACAGCGACGAGGCTGAAGACGCTGGCTGTGACCGTCAAGCTGGACACGAAGTTGCTGATGATGCAGAAGGGCAGGCCAAACCACCAGTCGGCGTACACCACGTAGATGAAGTTGAAGGTACAGTTCAGGCAGATCATGAGCAGGTTGGCGACGCTGAGGTTGACCAAGAAACAGTTGGTGGCTGTTCGCATGTGACGGTGAGCTGGAACACAAATGGGTCGAAGTCAGGCAAGTGTGTTCTGGTTTGGTTGGGTTCGGTTCTGCTTTGGCACTCTGACGACCGGAGGCGTATGCTGTCACTTCATGCTTGTACTAAAACACTCACACCACGTACTTACCATAGGGTGTTTAACAAATGTCCCAATCTATAATAGCTATGAAAAAATAACTTTGAATTTTGAGATGCACAGTTTGCTAGTTCCTCTTTATCCTCGCCACACAAACGTTATGTTTTCAGTATTTGGAGGGGCTTTGATTGAAAGCATTTTGATGGAAACAAATATGACCAACCACATAACAATGCCGGTATTGGTGACATTCGGCACAAGTCGAATGGAACAGCTCTTGCGCACAAGAGCTATTGCTCATTTTAAATTGTTCCAAAAATTTGAAACATAATCATTAAAGGGCAGCAAATCATATCTGTTCTTACGACAGCGTTTTGTCCACCTTCGCCCTACGTGGGGCCCACAGAAGAGACCATCGGCGCGCTTTTCCGTTGGCCGCAACACCCTCTCATGCGCTTTTGAGTGCACTTCTGCCGACGGCAGCCGTGAGATATTCGTCCAATAAAATTCGATTCCGCACTAAATAATCTACTCAAAGCCTTGACCCCCAAAAAAATTGTTGACGTGCTAAATATTACAATCTATACAATATTACTTCAATTTTACACGCACCCGGGTGGCCAGTCCGATAGCCTTTGCCCCGATGGGGTATCAATTTGATCCCCGCCTGAGATCTCAGGAACTAAGAGAGCTAGAGATAACAAACTTACAGGACGTGTTGGTCTGTGCCTGAGCTCACTTAGGTCAGAGTCTCTGGCTCCTAGGTTGTGACTTTCCGGTCAAATGGGGTCAAACAAGGTCAAACTCCAAGTTGGTCTCCAAAGTGTTCCCAGAACCTAGATACCTGTTCTAAGCAAAAGGTGACATGCCCATTTAATGTCTGTGATCTTGTTTGACCTTTCGAAGGTCATGGTGACCAAAATGTGTGGCCTTCCTATACCTGCAGCCGTGCGTTACATAAATGATAGGCGATGGATGCGTCCCCAGTAAGATCGTCAGTGGGAGGGCGGTGCATCGAGGGACGAATTCCAACGGTAACGCCGCCTTCGACTACAGCACGTGTCTCACGTCAATGAACCATTGCTCACCCTGTCCACCATGCTCTCACTATTTCACGAGTACTGCAAGGTATCCTACGTGTGGTCAGCTGGCCCGATGTGATCGCTCCCGTTTTAATATCGCGATCAAAGTGTGCCAAAATAATTTTGAAACAGATAGTGCCTTACGCCTGTAATATCAAAATGTTAAAGCAATCGGAGATAATTGCAGTCAGCCAATCGTATTGAGTATTGGCAGCGATTGAAAAGAAATGAGGTAATTAGGTCAGCTTCTACAGGGGAAGGACGTCTCGGTGGCTTGCAGAAACAATTCACTAGCATGACTGCAAGTCTTTACGGCGGCTAGGTAGCCCGCATGCCCTGCTATCCGAGCACAAACACCCGCCCCTTGTCTGGCGAGAGGCTCGCCTCCCGGGGCGATTCCCATCCGCCTCGCGAGAAAATCCGCGGGCTCTTCGCGAGGAGACTCGCATCTTACCCGACACGGAGAAGCGCCAATACCCAATGCGATCGGCGAAGCGCCACTTAATCGGCGAAGCGCTTGCAGCCCGGAGAAGCGCTCCTGACTCGACACACGTCCCTGTAACAGTCTAGTGAGCGCACGAGGCGACGGCTGGCTGCGCGCAAAGCGCCGTGCCTCGTCGGCGAAGCGGCGCCGCCTCGCCGGCGAAGCGGCGTCTTACTCAGAATGATGGCGCAGACCAAGCTGTTGCCGGCGATGGCGATGACGAGCATGGCTCCGAAGGCGACGGCCCAGCCGAGCGCTGCCCACGACGCCATGGCGAAGCCGTCCGGCCGGGCGCCAGCCTGTGCGCCGACGTTGTGCTCCAGGAGGAGCCGCAGCTGCCATATGTCCGAAGAAGCCTCGAGCATCGCGACACGATGTCCTCCTGTGGGTGAGCAGAGGGGGGTGAGTCTCCTCTGCTCTGCTGAAGGCGGTGCCCTGCGCCTCTCAATGGGCGCCGAAGGGCGTCTTCAGATGAAATTGTGGCCCAGCCGATGGTTGTGGGACGGCTGTGGGTTTGGAGAGCACGGAAAGATAAACCGGCATGAGAGGTACGCAGCGAGCTGCCAGAGGAATGCAGAACTATTCGCAACAGCGTAACGACTTCTGTTGACTTTATGACCTCCACCTGGCCCTCACATTCTGAACGCCGAAGTACCATCGCCTGCCCGGGTCCACAGACATGTGGGCAGGAAAAGGGAGGGGAGGGGGAGGCTGTCTGAGAAGGCGCTATGCGGTTCAGATGGGAGATAGGAGTGTGCAGGCTCAGTTCGGACCGAACCACACCACACACAAACGCCGGTGTAGAGAACTACACGTGAATCCACCGTCTTACTGAATCATATTAGAAGATCAAAATAAAATAGACATCAAAAGACACGGTTCGTTTTCACAGCAAAAAAAAAACGGGAATTCAGTGATCACGAGGTGCCGAATAAAATTCAGAATGCCAATAAGTACCTCCCGGCCTCTATCGCTGCACCAGGGTGATAGCCAGTGGAATTGAGATAGCTGACATGGGCGTGCGTTTTCTGGTCTGATCAAAACGTAAGCCTATGCGACCCCAGTTCACAAGTCTCAAGTTCTCAAGTCACATGAAAACTTTTAGCTCATAAACGGTTCTCTTCATTCATATATATATATATATATATATATATATATATATATATATATATATATATATATATATATATATATATCAAAGAGGATATGAATATAATAACTAAAATGGTTTGCTGAAGAGATCCAGCAGAACCCATGAGCAAGGGGCCTGATTGTAACAGCGACATGTAACTCTATTTCTTCTAGAAGCCGTAGGTCTGGAAACTGAGCGTAATAGAGACATGTTGTAACTCTGTTTCTTCTAGAAGGGACAAGACACCTTTCCTGGAAGTGCTACTTTTGCCAACCTAACATATAATGACTGTCACTTTTGCAGGTTGTCTTTGGTTGTGACCCTGCCAACGACACCGCGCACTTCGGTGAGCTCGCTTCCTATGGCGCACAACACAGCACGTGTTGAAGTCGACACTTGGCAGAACTCCAACAGTGTATCGAAGAAAAAATTAGCAAAAAGAGATAACCTCGAAAATAGTAGAAAGGCGTTCAACGGACGTCATACATTTAACCGTAACCGATTTTTGGAACACACGCATCCTTCATGGACGCGCGTAGAACGCACAGTATACTTTTATCGCTATGAGATGAGTTTACGAACGCACTGTGCGTGGGGACGCTTTCAGTTTACCTACTTCCAGAACGCATTATCATATAACTAGCCTGGAACAAACGTGTCTGCCTTCTCTATGATCTACATGTGATCTGCTTATTACTAGATACAAAACATAAATCCATTTAGCTCTATTTTTCGCCTTTATGAACCTCTGGTGGACAAGCACAGCTCAGTTATTTCGCATCACAACGTCGTTTTTTTATCTCTGCCTCCTGGTATAATGACGGTCGCTAGCTCATAATGAAAACTTTAAATTTATAATAGTTATTGCTAGCATACTCGAGTAGTCGTCAAACAATTGTACGTGGAATTTGGGCATGCAGGTGAACGTGATACGAAAAAATGTCTTCCGATGCATAAGTAACCATGCAGCACCAATCGTCAACAGAGCTCAGCATTTTAAAGGTAGTATTTCACATTTGATGATATTGAAGAAAGCATCAGGTGTAATGACACACGGTCACTTATTACTCTGGGAGTTCTTTTTAAGTAGAAAATACTGCTCTAGACAGCACAGTTCTCGGGTAAATATGCATCCGAATGCGTCATTGTTTGCGCACGTCATCGTGTCTCGCATAACATCGATTGAGAGCCAATTGACGGCGGTCATATCTGTAAGTTGCGCACACGAACGCCAGATATGAACAATTGACATTTCATTTTTTTTGCATTGCTCGACAATTGCATTTTGCGCCTTGATTACCGTATGACCTATGGAATAAGAGGACTTGACCGATCTTATTATGACATCATGAATGCCATGGTGACTCTGAAATATTCCCCCCAATATATTTGTACCTATTTTCGACGGCTCGTAGCTCAGAAACTAGGAGTGCATATGTTTTAAGAAGGGTAGGGTTGTGAACACCACTGAATGGTCTTCAAGATGGCTATTTCAATTTCAACCCCCATGTGAATGTGGAATACTACCTTTAAAGCTAAACTCTTACCAGTGTTCCACTGTAAAAAGATTACCTCAGCAGTGGGCACGGTCGAATTATAAAAATGCTTCATTTGTGAGCAGCTCTGCTCTACCAGTCTGTGAGCAGAGCTCACAGATTGGTAGAGCAGAGCAGGGAGTGTGAGCAGAGCTTAGATGTGAGCAGACCTTGGGTTTACTACGAGTCAATTTGTGACCAAACTAGGACATCCTGTGAGCAAATAATAAATTCTAGAATGACTCAATTACACGATTGGTTCAGCTGTAAGCAGAGTTGTTTGTTGGTTCTGGCTCACCGGTGGGCAGCAGCGAGTGACACGGACAACTCAACGGTAAGCACTTACCAGTGACAAGGACAACTCAACAGTAAGTACTTACCGGTGACACGGACAACTCAACGGTAAGCACTTACCAGTGACAAGGACAACTCAACAGTAAGTACTTACCGGTGACAAGGACAGCTCAACGGTGAGCACTTTTCAGCGACAAGGACAGCTCAACGGTGAGCAGTTACCAGTGACGAGGACAACCCAACGGTAAGCACTTACTAGCGTCAAGGACAGCTCAACGGTAAGCACTTTTCAGCGACAAGGACAGCTCAACGGTGAGCAGTTACCAGTGACGAGGACAACCCAACGGTAAGCACTTACTAGCGTCAAGGACAGCTCAACGGTAAGCACTTTCCAGCGACAAGGACAGCTCAACGGTGAGCAGTTACCAGTGACGAGGACAACCCAACGGTAAGCACTTACTAGCGTCAAGGACAGCTCAACGGTAAGCACTTTCCAGCGACAAGGACAGCTCAACAGTGAGCAGTTACCAGTGACAAGGACAACTCAACGGTGAGCACCTACCAGCAATTAGGAAAAACATGGGCGAGAAGTTGCCAGTGACAAAGACAAACGATAGGTGAGCAGTCATCAGCGATTGGGATGAAGGATGGGCGAGCAGCATCGTTGACAAGTCTGGCTTACTTGCGGGCTGTTAGCAGCGACCATAAGGGCTTAGCAGTGATCAGCTACCCATTATCGGAGCAACTCTACGGTGAACAGCTGTGGAGCAGCTGCCAGCGGCCGACACGACTCATCAGAGTGCATTTACCAACGGTCATGCCAGCCCATACGTGGCCCATACGTGAGCCGTGCTCGGCGGCCAGGTCAGCTCAGCAGCGGCGCGAGCGGGGCGTACCTGCCCTCGCGAAGCGCCCAGAGCGGTGCCGGTGCTCAGCCGGGCGGCAGCAGCCGCGCTGGACACCGTCCCCCGACCATGGCCGATGGCCGCGCTCAGCACGGCGAGTGTGGCCGCCCGGAGGCAGACCTCAGCCGCTGCCCGGGGGGCGCCGGTGGGGCGGACGGCTGGCTCCCGCCGCCGGTCGAGGCGTCAAGTCAGCGTGCGCTCCGGTCGGCACGAGGCGCTCGAGAAGGGCTCCGGAGAAGCGCTTCACTCGGTAAGGGCTCCGGCGAAGCGCTCCACTCGGTAAGGGCTCCGACGAAGCGCTTCACTCGGTAAGGGCGTCGGCGAGGCGCTGCGCTCGGCTCGGGCTCCGGTCAGGGTTGGAGTTCGGTTGTGGGTCAAGTCTGACGGAGACTTGGCGCTCAGGGGGTGGCTAGACGTGACTCCGAGTTCAGTCCGGGTTCGGCAGTGCGAATCCTCGCGAACGTTTGCGGCGGTCCCCGAGGGAAGTAAGTCACGAGAACACTATCTTTTGACCGTATTCAATAAGACCTTATGAAGACAACAAACAATGCGATTGCTAGTGCGGGTGGTATTACGAATTGCTGAGGGCAATGCAGTGTTACGGATATGGAAGAGATGGCGTACGTGCAATTATTTACGTGAAAGCAGAACAATCACTTAGAGGTTTTGGCCCGTGATGAGCAGAACGAGACAGATATTCCCAGCAGCGACTTAGTTTTGAAATCTAAGACCAGACGTCCCCTCCCACTGAGTACCGCAAGACTTTTCCAAAATATCTGAATCCGATCTCCCGTACCGCTCCGTCTAATAGCACCCGCACAGGAACCAAGCGAAGTGGCACAATTCGACGTCGCTGGAAGGGTCTCTCACAGTATGCGTGCGCGTGCGTGTCGACCCGTCACCAGGTGTTCGGCGCACACACAAACACGCACACACGCACGCGGTGCGTCCTTCGCAGCGCTCCGTGCAAGTGCAACTGCTGATCGGCACTTGCCGTCTCGCCTGGAATACTACGGTGCGCGCGTCTGTTGCGCCGCGTCCCTCCCCTGACGTCAGGCAAGACCGCGCCGCCCGCCGCCAGGTTCTCGTCGGTGGCATAAAGAGCTATACGCCGCCAGGTTATCATCGGCGGCATAAAGAGCTACACGCCGCCAGGTTATCATCGGCGGCATAAAGAGCTATACGCCGCCAGGTTATCATCGGCGGCATAAAGAGCTTCACGCCGCCAGGTTATCATCGGCGGCATAAAGAGCTACACGCCGCCAGGTTATCATCGGCGGCATAAAGAGCTTCACGCCGCCAGGTTATCGTCGGCGGCATAAAGAGCTACACGCCGCCAGGTTATCATCGGCGGCATAAAGAGCTACACGCCGCCAGGTTATCATTGGCGGCATAAAGAGCTACACGCCGCCAGGTTATCATCGGCGGCATAAAGAGCTTCACGCCGCCAGGTTATCATCGGCGGCATAAAGAGCTACACGCCGCCAGGTTATCATCGGCGGCATGAAGAGCTACGCGCCCCCAGGTTATCATCGGCGGCATAAAGAGCTACGCGCCGCCAGGTTATCATCAGTGGCATAAAGAGCTACGCGCCGCCAGGTCATCATCGGAGGCACGATTGCCGTAGGATACAATAGCCTTCTGGTGCCGGCCGATGGTGGCCGCGCCGGGGCCCCTTGGGTTGCGCGTGACGTCCAGCTAATCGCGAAGCTCTGTCGTCCTCTTCCCTCTCGCCAGCCTGCCGCCTCACCTCGCCAGCTTGCCGCCTGCCTGAGGTGAGGCGGTGGGCTGACGAGGGTAGAAGCGCAGCATGTGCTTGCTGACGAGGGTAGAAGCCAGGGGATGGTCAACTGGCTTAATGATGGCTTGGTGATGCCCATCCAGTGCTCTTGTATGCAGAGAGAGAGAGGTTCAAGCCAGGGACATGACCACTGGATGGATCCTGGCCCGGTTTGTCGCAAATTACCTTTCTTCATCATGCCGTGACTGGCATTGACCAGCGGGAGTCTGCAGCCTTCTGTTCCTGGGCGTGGCCTGTTTTCTGAGATGGGCCTGAAATGGGCCTGTTTTCAGGGTAGTGGGCAAACCGCGATCTTTACGCCAGAACACCGGTCAAATGGGCCAAGCATGCTTGTCTCCATTGATGACAACAGATACGCTCCGGTCTATGGCAAAAGAAGTTATTATCAGGGACGGTTTTTGGCATCGAGCCCAGACTGTTCCGCGACAATCTCAGCTATCATGAATATGACCTCGCAACGACAGTTTGCAAAGTTCTTGAAAAAGCTTGCTCCGGATAGACCGGGAGGTCACAGGCAGGTTACAGAAGCGAGAGAGCGACCAAGGCAGGTCACAGCACCGAGGGAGCGGCGGGGGCAGGTCACTGCACCGAGGGAGGTCACAGGCAGGTCACAACAGCGAGGGAGCGGCCAAGGCGTGAGCACGCCACCGTGTTACGTACGGCTGTTTGAAGTATCCTCGGTCGCATAACAATGCGATATTTTGTTTCACACCGGTATGTCACAGTCCTGTTGTTTAAAAATAATAAACAGCCCCACAGCAACCAAACGTAAACGGGTGATGAGTGCTGTATGGTGGTTGTGACACATCGATTCCCGTAAAAGCAGGCACAGTTTCGACGTTTCTTCGCTGAAAAATGGTCTCGTCAAATTAGCATCTACATTCGGGATTTATGCTCTAGCCAACGCAAGAGAGCGCGACTGCAAATGACCGCAGCGGCGGCATTGCCTAATACTAACGTGGCGCCACCATGAGCTCCACTGAGCTGTCAGGCAAACACTTGCCACCGGACGTTTAGCTGGCGGACAGCATCTCCAGACACTGAGTACGCGATCCGGCAGACTTCGTGCCGACCCGCCGTTTCCGCCCTCGGCTCTCCGGTCGATAACGCACCCACCCCTCTCCCGAACAGCTGAAGGTTAGCTCCGCCGGCGTCCTCCGGCAGAAGCGGGCTCAGCGACGCCTCCCCTGGAGGCGGCGCTGACTCCGTCCCTGGTGCTGCGCGTGACGCGCCGGCGGCGCGGCCGCGCGTGGCCCGGGTGCGGGCCGCGCCGCTCTGTCCCTCTACGTTGCGAGCCTGAGCACGCCCCTGCGTCTGACACCTGCCCCGTTGTATTTGCACACAGGTGGCGGCGGGGCCCGGGCCTCGGAGCTTCGCGGTATCGGCCGATAGCGTTACGTCTGGGCGGGAACGCGTTCGGCAGGACAGACGGGCGCGGCGAGGACCTGCGCCGGCCGCGGTCCGAGGAGTCGCCGCACGTGGCTGGGGGAGCACGGCGTGGTCGCTTCAGCAGCAGCAGCCCGCGGCAGCGCCGGCGGCGGGGGCGCAGTGGTGTCGGAGATGGGTGTCAAGTGTTCACAGGCCGACTGAGTGACGTCACTGGAGGCGGCGAAGCTGCGTCACTGATAGCGGTGCATGAGCCTGTCTCGTTCCCAGCGCACGCTGGCGTTGCGCGCGACGCGTTGGTACGGTTGGCGTGAAGAGCTAACTGCGTTAAGCCCCGTGTCAGCATCCTCCCGGTGGCGCCAGGACGCTGCCGGATCACCGAGCAAAGCCTGTCCGCGATCGACTGACGGTGACGGCTCGCGTTACTTGTGCCGCGAGTGGCGAAGTGTGAAACTCGTGTCTGAAGAAACGTTGGACGGTCGACGTCGAGCCGCTGCGACGCCGAGGGGAGCTGGATTCGTCAACATCCCAGCTGCTCGATCCCTCCGCCTGGTGTCCCCCGTTTGGGACGTTTCCGGGTGGCGAAGAAGCCTGTCGAAGACCGGTGGAGGTCACCGTGACGGGCGGCAGGTAGTTAGCCAACTCTGGTCACCACCATCAGCAGTCGTCTCCTTCTCCTTCCCTCGCTCCGCCACGTCTCTGGACGTTCTCCCCTCGCTCCTTCACATCTCCGTACCATCTCCCCTCGCTCCACCACTTCTCCGGATCTTCTCTCCTTGCTCTGCCACTTCTCCGTACCTTCTCCCCTCACTCCGTCACTCCTCCGTACCTTCTCCCCTCACTCCGTCACTCCTCCGGACCTTCTACCCTCGCTCCGCCACTTCTCCGCAACGACAGCGCTGGCCAAGACTGAGCTGCGGACGACTGACACCGGTATTCAGAGAGCAGAGGACTGAGAGCAGCAGAACGGAGCCGCAGACGGCTGTAGTCAGGCAAGTGGAATAACTGAGAACGTGGCTGAGAACGTGACTGAGAACGCTAGAACACCTGGGGACGTTAGCAGTGAAGGTAACATCCGGAACGGGCAGGGAGAATCTGTAAAGTATTTGCGAGGGACATCGCCAGGGAAATCGGTGAGTTGGACTTAACTGATTGCAGTACACCGTTCACAGCCTTTGGCTCGATATAACAATGTTCAGGGTTTACTTTTCCGGCGTCCCACACTCATCGTCCCGGATGCAATTCCTAGGAAGAGCACTCTCGATGGAAGAGATCTGGTTGCATCTGCGTGCCGATGAACAACCCACAAGCAAGGCCCGCGGACGAGACCCTGATCATCGCGCTCACCGTGCCGTGACTTGCTATCAACCGGCGTCGTGTGATGATGATTATGGCTATGACGCTGGTGCTGCTGCTGCTGCTACTGCTGAAGCTGAAACTGAAGCTGAAGCTAAAGCTGAATGGTTATGCTAGTGTTGGTATCCATGCTGACGCTGGTGCGATGCCGGGCCGCCAATGCCCGAACCCGTCTTCGACCAAAGCCTTCATCCTGTTCGCAATTCAGCATTGGATAAGTCACAAATCAAGGCAATGGGCAGGCTATATTCTGTTTAAGTCACAGTTAGTTACAATTACAGTAAGTTACAGTTTAAGTTGCAATGTGGCAAGAACTCGTGCACGATTAAGTATCTTGAAATTCAACGCCTGCTTCTGAAATCTATAAAGCACGGTTTTTGAAAGCATCGCTCATTTTAAAGCTCCAAAAGGCTTAGGGGGCTAGGACCTTTGGCTGACCACCAGCATTAGTTTATGGAAGGTGTAAGGCTTGCGCCGCAGCGGACCCCGCATCTTTCATTTTCGCATAATAGTATCAAATTATTTTGCATTCAGTCAAAATAATAAGCCTCTTACTATTTATTAGCGCATGTGGAAATAATAATGGTTAAGGTACTGTTTTCTCTCTTCCGGCTAAACATGAGCTTTGATGTCATATTTGTGTCTGAATAACTCGACTTTGTCCGTCGTTGGAAACCCGGCTGGCTGTAATCAGCGATACAGTATTTACTGGGAGCGTTATGAATTAGGTGTTCAATCATGCTTCACGGCAATAATCAACGAAAGACTTAAGCGTTGCCGAAAGCTCCCACACGGGCGGCCAACAATTTTTTTCTCTAAAACACGCCAGGAGCCAGCACATGGTAGCCGTTGTCAGCCATAACGGTTATTGGGCTTGTGTTGTCAGCGCGCCAACTCGGGTGTCACGCTGACACATGAGGGGCGACACCTGACACAATACTGACATACGGAGGATGACTCCTGGGGGTCGCCGTGAAGGATGACCTCTCCGTGTCACCTGAGTGATCTCTGAACGTCACCTGCGAAATGATGTGCTGTGCAAAAAATATGTGTAGAAAATGCAAGGCCGCACATTCAGGCGGTCTGAGGTGGAATGTATTGCCTGTTAGCCATTCATTCAGGCTAACAGGCTATACATTCCACTCTCGATATCTGTTGGTCGAATATGTTTTACCTTTACGGCTTCCGATGAATTATTGAGTTCCATTTGGTTAAAACTGCAATGCTGCAATGTTGCAAAATTTCATGTATGTCTGAGCCGCTTGGAGTCACTAAGCCACTTAAGTCTGTAAGCCCAGTCGTTAACACCCGCTCGGGTGGGGGGTCAACTTAACCCCCGAAGGTTTTTCCAGAATGGTTTTTGAATTTCCAAATTTTGCATAGCTGTAGGTAGTTGAATAGCGGATCGTTTGACATAGAAAATTTAGATATACCCTTTAAGGTCACTGATCTATGGTCGGTCAAAATCAGGTCATGGTTTCAGCGAAGGCAATTTCTAGGGAATCGTCCAATCTGGTACAGTAACGAAGAGTTTGACGAAGCCATGCATCTCTGAAATGCTTTCTTAGGCACCACAAATATTGAATGAGCAAATTACGTTGACCTAAGGTCAGGTATGAAAGTTAGACCAAGGTCAAAACCAACCTGATCTATTGCTCTGAGGTTTGCTGTATGCGATATTTTCTGGTGCTTATTTCGAATTTACTGATAGCAGCATCCGCATTATACATCTTCCATTGACTTCTTTGAGGTCAGAACAGGTCACTGACCTAAGATGACCCGGGTCGACATTTTGTTTTGGGAACATACTGCCTGGCGTAATCTTTTTCGCTTATTCAAATGCGAAACTCAGAGCAGTCTTTTGTTATTTCGGTCACCATGACCTTCAAAAGGTCAAACAAGGCCACTGACCTCAAATGGGCTTGTGACCTTTTGCTAAGAAACAGTTTCCTAGTTTCTGGGGGCACTTAAGAGACCAACCTGGAATTTGACCTTGTTTTCCCTTATTTGGCCTGAAGGTCATGACCTAGGAAGCTCAAACTTTGTCCTAAGTGAGTTCACGCACAGGTCAGGACAACCCGGTAAATTTGGCGTCTCTAGTTCCTTTAGTTCCCGAGATCTCAGGGGGTCATATTGACCCCCCCCCCCCCCACCCGAGCGCAGGGTATCTAGCCGGACACCAAGGCGCGGGTTAAGTCAGTGATATGATTGTCATGCTTTCAGTTAACGCAGCAAGCATGAACACTTTTACAACATGCTTAAGCAGGGGCGCAGCCGAGGGGAGAGGGGTGACCCCTTTCCTTTCAGGCAGGGATAGCCCCACCATAAATGACTCTTGGCAAAAAGCTGGAGATCAGCGTGCGATCTCACCGAGGTTTGCCCCCCCCCCCCCCCCCCTAGTCTTAGTCTGCGGTAGAGTAGGCTTGGGTCATTACGGTCTTGCCGTCAGCAACGAATTGGGCCTTATGACAGTGTAAAAATGGAGATTTTAAGTGCATTCACGCTCTCACGTACGCTTAAAGCACACACCTCACCTATGGATCATGTCCTATAAGCGTACTGCAGTGCGTAGCATGGCTCTCTCCAATTTTTGCTAAGTGTGGGTACATAATTTTTTTGTAGTCGCCTTTGTACTTGAGGCTGTTCTTTCAGCAAACGTCTATGCTATGTTTTGCAGATAGCGTGTCGGTCCAGCGTGCCGTAGCCGGCGGTGCTCATTGACACCAATGGTGATCAACCAGTCGTACACATACAGTAGCAATGTACACAAACAGTACACATACGGCACGGCATGTGTGTTGCTTGCAGGGTCCCCGTATGGCCTTGAAGAAGATTTCTTAACACCTGCATGGATCACTGTACATGCCTTACATCTCATATTTGGTCAGGTTGTAAAGATCTTGGCTTGTTCGTGAGCTGTTGCAGATGATTAGTGCCCATAGGTGCCCCTGGGTGCCCATAGATTTTCACATTCAAGCTATCAGGAAAAATGGGTGGCGTGCTGTCATTGTCTGGAAGATATTTGCCAGGTCAGCGCTTTAGAAGACAGCATTGTCTTCGTTTGGTCAACTCACTTGCTTCAGTGTGATTAAATGCATTGTTGAGAACTGCATTAGAGTATTCCTTGCCCGTCTCATAAAGTTTTTTCAAAGCGTTTATAACATAGAGCTGAAATCGGAGTTCCTCCTGAACTGTTTCTTGTGCAGAAATAGATGCACCTCGCGACCAGCTTACTCTAAACGTTATTCATTTTCACCACATACTGACCGTCCCTTGAAAATGGTTGCATACGCCTTTGAATTACGAAGACACTGAGTCCGTTCCTGTTGGCGTGCTCAGAAAGGCCACAGCTGTGAACGCCTCAGCCCTATGTGCTGCCGTCTAGTCTGTGGGGGAGCGACATGTCATCTTTTCCGCGTCACCATCTGGGGTAATATCTGGAGTAGCATCTGGAGTTACACATGGAGTGCGGCCCAAAACAGCAACCCAGGTGCGGTCTCTCAAGAATCTCAAGATAGTGGGAGGACTGCGCCATTGATGAGCGATCGGCCGCACTCCGTTTTAAATCCTTCATTTTGTAATAATAAACTCCGAAATTGTGACCTCCCTTTCACAAAAATATGGACGCTTCCGCTGATCCCGCCATCCTCGGCCGCAGACGAAGACGTTTTGGTCTCCATGGGTACCTTTTGTTGAGCGACGCTGTCACTCCCGCTGTCACTCGTGCGGCGTTGTCACTCATTAATGGCCTCTTGTCAAGGGCACGTGGCACCTCACAACTTCTACCACGTCAGAAAGATCTCGTCCGGACATCTCCCAGGCCTGGCAGGACCCGAGACCCTCTCTCAGGCCCGCCAGGACCCGAACCCTCTCTCAGGCCCGCCAGGATCCGAACCCTCTCATCAGACCCTCAGACCTCTCCCATGCCTTCCAGGACCCGAACCCTCTCATCAGACCCTCAGACTTCTCTCAGGCCCGCCAGGACCCGAACCCTCTCATCAGACCCTCAGACCTCTCTCAGGCCCGCCAGGACCCGAACCCTCTCATCAGACCCTCAGACCTCTCCCATGCCCTCCAGGACCCGAACCCTCTCATCACACCCTCAGACCTCTCTCAGGTCCTCCAGGACCCGAACCCTCTCATCAGAACCGAGACCCTCTCTCAGGCACGCCAGGACGTCAGCCATCACAGCGCTCGCTCCCGGGCTCAGTGAACTTCCAGTCGGCTGCTCACCCATTGATGCAAAGCTCTCAATGAACAGCGCTCTATGAACAGCGCTCCATGAGCCGCGCTTTACGAAGAGTGCACTATAAACAACAGCATGTCCGCCCACAGCTGCGGGAAGGCCGGCGGCTTTCAAAGTCCCGCGCTCGCGACCAGCAGACAAAATTGCTGACCTTCTTGCCCGCCTCCGACTGTTCGGTGGAATTCAGGACGTGTCGCATCCCAAGCGGAAGCAGCTGGCTTCTTATTGCATTGACCCCCGAAGTTATCAGCACTCTCACGCATTAGTAGAAACGCTGCAATGAACATCCGGCATCGGCACAGGCAATCCAGCGCCAGACGGCTCTATGAGACTGTTACTGAACTTTGTCGGTTGTGTCATTTATACTTATTTTACCTGCGTTATTTTCTATTCGCTGTGGACGACAACTGCATTCTCGTGTCGTGGTCTTCATTGGTCCAGATTTTACGTCAAAATCAGCATAAAACAGCACCACACGCAACACGCAACGGCTTACGTGTTTTGCATAAAATGTCACAGGATATCGCCAGACGTCTCCTTAAAATTATAGCATTTCCCCAGACTGGTTCTATTGCATGTGTCCCACATACTCCCGTGATTTCTTCCTGTTGAACACGGGTATACGCAATGTGATAGCTTATCCTGTTGCTGTCGTGACCGCCAAAGGATGGACAACGAGCGTGGCAGGCAACAACGGGTGTGGCAGGCGACAACGAGCGTGGCAGGCGACAACGGGCGTGACAGGCGACAACGGGCGTGGCAGGCGACAACGGGCGTGGCAGGCGACAACGAGCGTGGCAGGCGACAACGGGCGTGGCAGGCGACAACGAGCGTGGCAGGCGACAACGAGCGTGGCAGGCGACAACGAGCGTGGCAGGCGATAACGGGCATAGCAGGCGACAACAGGCATAGCAGGCGACAACGAGCGTGGCAGGCGACATTATTGCCTCTATTGACGCGCCCGTTTGGATAGCCTGTTGATACCGAACGTCATTGCGTTGAAGAGCCTTGCACTTACCTTCCGACGATTCCTTACCGTTTCGCGTCGCTGGTGTTACAGTCTGAAGAGCACACTCAGTCATCTTAAGAATGGCCTCCGCGGATAGCGGCATGAAGGAGGTCCTCTCGCAGAAGGCGCACGAGCTCTTCGCCTTGTGTGACCGAGAGCAGAAGGGCTTCATCGGCAAGCGCGACATGCAGGTAAGCTACTGATAGGAGCATGCATGGTACGCGTCTGCCATAGCCAAAAACCTTATTCGCTTATTTTATTGTTTCAAATACAGCTGCGTCGGTCGCAAGCTTTACAGCATGGTTGCGGAATTTTCCAGCACTCGGGCTATCTGGGAGGTTGAACAAGGAAAAACATCGGAAACAGACTAGCTTTCGCCCCGTATACCTGAGCTTGCGTCCTCGCGTTTCTCGCTCATGCACTGCTTCTGAAAGACATGAAATACCAAAGGAATTAATTTTGTTCGACCTGATCCAAATCGTATCTGGCAAAATAGCATCCAGATACACTTCAAAAAAATAATTTTGGGTGGTGAAATGATAAATTTTGTTAATCAAATCAATGTATGTGGACTCCACACTTTGTCTGACACAATCCATGCACAAAATCCATTTTGATAGGTTTGATGCCTGAGTTTCGAGCTCGGTCCGCTCAGAACAAGGCAACGTATCGGGGACTGGACATAATCATGTCAGTCTAATGCCAACATGCATCATATTTTTACATAAGCCGTTCGATTAAAGCGCGAACAAGAATGCTGAAAACGGGCCAATGAATGTACACAGCGGTTGACTGATGCCATTTCCATACATAACCATTAATCATGACAATTTGCCTTCAGCTCAAATCTCACCTAAAGAATAAGGTGAAATTGATTAACTTCATTTAACTAATTCATTAACATGACTCAATAGCTAGCAATTGATGACGTGACGCTTCATTATACGCCAGATAATTACACCTGATGACACTTGATAATATTCGATGAATAAAAGCGTTACATTCGGTCACATGGTCCGCAGCCAATCCGTATTTCAGGGCAAAATGGCCACTTAGTCTTGTATCGTATTTAAGAACTCACCCAGTCATGATTTTTTTTCTCTTTTAAGACGGTTTCATTCCTTGTCGACTATTAATAGCCCATGGCCTTGTTTGTGGCTGGATGTCACCGATATTTCGGTGTTTGCCACTGTAATTTCTCTGATCGCTGAACTTAAAATGGATATTGTGCCCGTACGCCTGGATCATTTTGCGGGACGTCATTCTGACAAAAGATGGAATGAAACTTTGCTGTGAAAATTTGATTTCTGGGCTAAATGTTGGCTCGTTTTGACTCATGCAGCAAACGCTTATAAGAAGACGAAAAAGTGACTAAAAGCAGATCAAAGCCTCCCAAAAGCATAACATGAGTATATTTGCTGAGGTGACCCACACCAAGTGCAACATATGGAATGAGCTGGTCGGATCAGGAGCTTCACTCGACTTTCTCCCTCTCAGTCTCACCTTCACTGCCACTCGACTGCTCCACTCCGGTTTACATTCAGATGTAGATCCTGCCTCCGGAATCGATGCATAACCGAACACGGCCGGCGCAAATGGCGGCGATCTGTCCAAAACCGGAAGTGGAATGGTAATATTCCCCGCCAAGCATCGACGGCTGAGGCATGCTTTGGCCGTCGGTGTCGGCGTCGGCCATGAGCGGACATGCACGACGGTAATCGAAAACTGTCGAAGCGCTCGCACCAATAGACGGGGAAGACATCAACCTAAAAGTGGCTTAGCTTTCTCACGAAAAGGCGAGGAACGCAGGACCGGTCAGGCTGCAAACGGGACAGTTTCGGGGATGGGTACCTTATGTACCTTATGTACCTTATTGTATTTACCTTATTTGCCATCAATCCCGAGCGTACCCGGCATCGATGAGTGCAGGTCATGTCAGGCCAGTGTCACCGATTCCATTTCGGACCAATGCATGATTGACTGTAACATTCTATTTCACTGCATTTTAATGTCGTTGCGCTTGTGTCTGGTTGGCTTCTCCGCAAAATACAGCAGTTTTACCACCTGACACCCTGGTGGCTATATAAGGTCATCATAATTCACCGAACTATCTCGCGTCTCACTTGACGTGGGTGAAAAAAGGCGTTGAGCTTCTGACTTTTCGCCGTTAAGAGTTAAGAGTCCTTATCCGGGCATTAATTACCCTTCAGTTTACCAGGAACTACTCGCACTTGTTAAACCGGGTAATCAAGGCGGCATTGAGCCAACGGTCCTGGATGGCGTCGCCACACCACTTTTTAATGGGCGCTGCAAACGCTGTCCCCCACCCTTGTATGCAGCGCCAGCGGCTGTAGAGACCACATCCAGACCAGGATTCTGGCGAACACTTCATGGCATATGCCAAGATGTTTTCTTTTCACAATGGCAGGGCATGCAGCGCACGCCATTTTACACAGCGCAAGCGACTTCCGTGCCAAATTAGCGCTCGGGTGCGCTGACACAACGGGAATTGGAACCCGAGCTCCCACTTGGGAGCCGAGGGAGCTGTCCACCCGGCCATTACGCTTCCGCTAATGTTGCTCAACCAGTGCCGCCTGGCATGCTGAGAACTGATTGATATTATTGTAAGGGCTCCAAAGCCGTAATGATTTTACCTACCGAGTTTGATAGCACGACGCCTTGTTGCGTCGATGTGTCCAGGCGCCATGTTCAGGCACTGGTGCTCGATGGTCCGATTGGTGCGTGTCAGTTGTTACCATTTGGTGACCCGTGAGCAAGCTTGCTCGATGTTTCTTTTTAGCCCTGCGAGGACGGCCTGTTTGCTTAAAGAGGGGCACAAACTTCACAAAGGGGGACACAACGTCCACAAAAGGGGGCACAAACTCCACAAAGCGGAGTGCAAACTCCACAACTGCAAAACGGTCATCATGCCCCTTGTTCCCACCAGCAGTCCTATACTGTGACAAAATGCACTCCGTCATTCATTTCCCTAAGAGAAGAGTTTTATCAATCCAGGAACCTAATGCTTCCCCGTTATTTTGCGCAGCGGCATGCGTGTCATGCCTGCCAAATTGGCGAGGCTGAGAATGACACATCAGCCGTCCAGTGAAATGCCGCGAAATGCTTGCCGATTCCCTCTAAATGGCCCTGATTCTGTTACAGAGAATGATTCAGGAGCTGCCCCTGGATCCTGACCAACTAGAGGACGTGTTCGACTCATTGGACATCGACGGCAATGGCTTTCTGACGTTGGAGGAATTCACCAACGGCTTCGGTATGCTTAACCTACTGGATGAGGCGCCCACAATAGCACTGTTCCGATCATTTTGTCTCCCATAGATCATGGTGCGGCACGCTACCATCGTGCCGACAGCGCAATTTCAGGAGAGGGCTATCTTGGGACGAAGGCAAGAGCTGGGGTTTTGTCTGAAATCCTGGACATGATGGTGACTGCCTAAGCATGATAATGATTTTTATGATTTGTTCCATATTATATTCAACAAATTAAGTGTTACGCAATGCGACACAATACGACTTCGCGGCGCCATAACGGCATGTGGATGTCTTGCGAGGCCACACTATACCAAAGCGCACCGCGCGCTCCGTGGTCAAGTGCGGCCACTCGAGTGCCAAGGAGGCGGAGATTTCTGCGCGCTGTTGCACACGTGCCTGGGAGTCCATTGGCTGTTTCCTCGCCCGAAACCGGCCAATCAGCGTCGAGCCATATAGCGGTCAAACCCGCATCTATGCGCCTCGGGCAAGGCAGATCAAACGGACCGGTCAGGATAGGGGGGTTCGAGGTCAGGGCATTAGCAGTGCAGGAAGCATAGTGGAGGCGGTGACGGCGGGATGGGCAAAAGTCTGATGGTGTGGGTTACTTTTGGCCTCCCTGGCAACCAACTGGACGGATTTCGATAAGCTGCCTGCCGACATAGCTGGTCGGGAAGCGGGCCGCCGGCCTCCTCCGACCTCGTGATCAATCAGAGAGCTGTGGCCGGACCGCCACCGGGGCGCAGCGGGTCGTTTCGGGCCCTGAAGACTCCAGTGGGGTGGCGGCGCGTGACAAGATCACTGGCACCGCGTCAGCCTAGCCACTCCTCGACCGGTGACATGTGACCTCGACCCCGCGCTCTCGAGACGACCCTGGCCGCAACATTCCCGAGCTTTTTCACTTGGCTGAGTAGGCATGCGACGGCCTTCACCAGGGCTGAGTGGCTGCACAAGATGTGGGGAAAGTAAGTCTTGGTAAAGGGGCTGCAGGTCTCGATTGTGGTATGCGCCGAACATGATAAATTAGGGCAGAGCTGCGCGTTTTTAATAATTCAGCATGGGAAAACATGAACGGGATGTACTCCGCAGTCGGTATTGTTTCCCACTTTTCTGTACCGGCAGGTTAGTTGGGTACGTAGGAAAGTAATTTTGGTCCGAGTCTTTTGAAATAATAAATTTTTAGGGCAGAGCTCACGTTAACCAGCTCTTATCGCAAGAGCCCTGACCCCTACCACCCGATGGCACCATTACAGGTCAACGGTAGAATTTTGTGGCGAATGTTTAACGCGCCGCAATGCTCGGCACAGTCCGTCCTGTCCTCTGACGTCACCTGACATTGAGCGCGGTCACTGTCATCGGCCGCAGGGCATACCTGTCAAGGGCAAATAGCGAGCGTCTAAAGTAATAGAACCCACCGCAGCCTGAGGAGGTAGATTGGAAGGCAGGCGCTCTAATCAAATGGGCCATCGGGACGGACTTGGTATTCAAAATAAAAAGTCCAAGATAGGAATGTGACAGCAGTGTTCCATTGGTAGCAATGCCCATTTCTGAGCGATAATGAGTGGGTGTGCGCATCTGGTGATTTCATGGCAAGCATTGATGAGTCATGCACCGGTCTACCTATATGTCCTGTTGCATGAAAAATTACTTCCGCCCGGTGTATAAGTTACAGAGATGGTCAGGGTGTTACACATCACGGACGGCAGCGCCATTCGTGATGTACAACTCGCAGAAATCCCCTTATCTTGTAACACCATGTGCAATTTTTGTTTAAGCCTCCCACGTAAAGATTAATCATTCTCACAGAACCCTTTCATATTTTGAAAGTAGGCGTGCAGGGAATTTATGAAAAACGTACATCAAGTCTTTTTCAAATGAAAGCTCATTATCTTTTGCCATCCCAGGAATCAGGAACCGGAAATGTAGCAGCCGTGTCCATCAGCCTACACTAGATAGCCAATCAGAGATTTATTAGGGATGCCGCCACCGATAAAGTCCGTGCAGTCAATCTGTTTATTACCTTTTACAGCCGATCGACATGCCATGGTGCGATATGACCGCGTCGGCGACGTATGGGAGCTCATGTGGGGCCTAGCCGGAGTTCAGAGTTTATTGGCGCAACATGATATTAGATAACCTTTGCGTTGGGGTCACCCATTCTGTCAGCGCAAGCACGTGTGGACAGCTGGATCAGTTAAGGCACAAGCGCATACATGAATGAGGTTAACGGGTTCTCCCATGCTCGCGTGTCGGAGTATGTCTGCTTGTGCTTAAGTGCTTGGATTAGCTGTGAGTGCACAAAAAGCCTCAGCGGCGGAAAAGCTAGCGGAACTGGTAAACGCTCATCTTCTCACCGCATGTTTTCTGATGCAAAAATAAAGTTCTGTTGAGGATGCTAGTCAAAAAAGGGAATCCTTTCGATAGGATTGAGTCCTCAGAACGATGTGAGCTTGCGGGCGTAAATAACTCGTTAACATGCGCCCTAGAGGGGCTCCTTGCCAGCCCCGCCCCAACGGGGGGATGGGAAGGGGATCCAGCTAGGGGATCCAACTGCGTTTTCCAACAAGGCTAGACATAACACGCTTAATCATGCACAATGTTTCACGACATGCTACCTCGCCCAAAAACCATGTATGAATACTTATCCCACAATAGCTGAATATTTGCAACCCATGATTGATAAAAGGAAATGATCCACGTTTGAACATACTGAGGCAGGCATTAGATATGATGAAATAAGCTCACTTGTGACTATCGGTTACCTTGAAGTGGAAAAGACTGTTCTAGACAATGCAGTTTCTCTATTGCGTAGACATATTCCTCAATGCGCCATTGTTTGATTGCATAATGTGCCTCACAACATTGATTGAGAGCCAATTGACGCCCGTTGTATCTGGAAACAGTGCTCGCGAACGCTAGATGTGAGCGACTCAGCAATCATATTTTTAGCCTTGATCGTTGCATAGTCAATGGAATGTGCATAATTTTAATGACGTCAATAAGCCGCCGAGGATGCCTGTGTGACCTTGAAACAGTCTACACGAAATAGTCTGCACATCTTCGCATGAGTGTAACTCAGAAACTAGAGAGCTTGGGTCTTAACATGGGGAGGGCTGTAACCAGCAGCAATTATTTTCAAGATAGCAATTTCAGTTCCAAACCCCATAAAAATGTGGAACGTTCCCTTTAAGACACATGGTTTAGTTTGATGATGATATGTGATTGGTTGCGCGGCACTTAGCCGAGCAATGCAAGGCTTAGATACCATTTCGGGAGTTTTAGTTGGATCGTCACGGCGGAAAACCTTACGGACTTTTTGGTTCGTTGATCATCTTTGCGGAAAAAAATCTTAAAAATTGAATGGTTGTACCCTTGCTCCCGAGCCGTTGTGCTAGCTACGAGGCTTCCTAATAAGCCTTTAACAGGTGTTCCTTTTGGCGTTAGACAAAGGAAAACATTTTACAGTGGTTCGCTTCCACCTTGCAGCAGTTCTCGGAGACGCCTGGATGCTATTCGGCAACCAGACGTCTTCATTTGGCTGTTGAAGTCAATCTCATGCCAGTGCCTTTATCACGCCACGGCCCTGGTAAACAGTGCAGCTGTAGCTCTTCATCCGTACCTCTTGCTTCATCAGGCTCTTTCCTCGGTCTGGACGAGGAGTCGGTCGATGATGGCGAGGACGTCGAGCGGCTCCAGCCGTCCTCGGAGGGGCACGAGAGGCAGGTGTGGCGCCACTCCTCGCAGGAGCAGCGAGCCCGTGAGGACGAGCAGGACGCCAACGAGCGGTTCGCCGACTTTGTCCTGCACTCCGGCGCCGGGGAGCTTCTGGGCGAGAGGTGTGACCCCCCCCCCCCCCTCCCCCCCCGGGGAAAGTGTAAAACCAGTGAAATCACCCGGAGACAGGCGTAAAAGTCATAGAACCATCCGAAAGGGAAATTAAATCGGTGAAACCATCCGGGAGAAGGGTGAGATCGGTGAAACCATTCGGTGGGAGGTGTGAAACCGGTGAATGACGGCGAGTAGTGTGAGACAGTGAAACCACTCGCGGGAGAGATGTGGGCGAGCGAGACCAGCTGTTGAGAGGTGTGGGGGAATGAGACCAGCTGTTGAGAGGTGTGAGCGAGTGAGACCAGCTGTTGAGAGGTGTGGGGGAGTGAGACCAGCTGTTGAGAGGTGTGGGCGAGTAAGACCATCTGTTTAGAGGTGTGGGCGAGCGACACCAGCCGTGGAGAGGTGTGCGGGACTGAGACCATCTGTTCAGAGACGTGGAGGAGTGACACCAGCCGTTGAGAGGCGTGGGGGAGTGAGACCAGCTGTTGAGAGGTGTGGGCGAGTGACACCACCCGTTGAGAGGCGTGGGGGAGTGAGACCAGCTGTTGAGAGGTGTGGGCGAGTGACACCAGCCGTTGAGAGGTGTGGGGGAGTGAAACCAGCTGTTGAGAAGTGTGGGGAGTGGGACCAGATGTTGAGAGGTGTGGGCGAGTGAGACCAGCTGCTGAGAGGTGTGGGGAGTGGGAGCAGCTGTTGAGAGGTGTGGGGGAGTGAGACCAGCCGTTGAGAGGTGTGGGGAGTGGGAGCAACTGTTGAGGGGTGTGGGGGAGTGAAACCAGCTGTTGAGAGACGTGGGGGAATGAGACCAGCTGTTGAGAGGTGTGGGGAGTGAGAGCAGCTGTTGAGAGGTGTGGGCGAGTGAGAGCAGCTGTTGAGAGGTGTGGGGAGTGAGAGCAGCTGTTGAGAGGCGTGGGGGAATGAGAGCAGCTGTTGAGAGGTGTGAGGGAATGAGAGCAGCTGTTGAGAGGTGTGGGCGAGCGAGACCAGCTATTGAGAGGTGTGGGGGAGTGAGAGCAGCTGTTCAGAGGCGTGGGGCGAGTGAGACCAGCCGTTGAAAGGTGTGGGGGAGTGAAACCAGCTGTTGAAAGGTGTGGGCGAGTAAGACTGAGACTGTTGAGACTGAGACTGTTGAGAAGTGTGGGGAGTGAGAGCAGCTGTTGAGAGGTGTGGGCGAGTGAGACCAGTTGTTGAGAGGCGTGGGGGAATGAGAGCAGCTGTTGAGAGGTGTGGGGGAGTGAGACCAGCTGTTGAGAGGTGTGGGGGAATGAGAGCAGCTGTTGAGAGGTGTGGGGGAGTGAGAGCAGCTGTTGAGAGGCGTGGGCGAGTGAGCAGCTGTTCAGAGGTGTGGGGGAGTGAGACCAGCTGTTGAGAGGCGTGGGCGAGTGAGAGCAGCTGTTCAGAGGTGTGGGGGAGTGAGACCAGCTGTTGAGAGGCGTGGGCGAGTGAGAGCAGCTGTTGAGAGGTGTGGGGGAGTGAGGCCAGCTGTTGAGAGGCGTGGGCGAGTGAGAGCAGCTGTTCAGAGGCGTGGGGGAGTGAGACCAGCTGTTGAGAGGCGTGGGCGAGTGAGAGCAGCTGTTAAGAGGTGTGGGCGAGTGAGACTAGCTGTTGAGAGGTGTGAGGGAGCAAGACCAGCTGGGTGGAGGTGGAGAGCAGGAGCACGACCAAGGGGGCTCATGGCGTGTCCACCCTCAGCAGCTTCTACCACGACACTACTGAATACAAGCTTTGAAACCGGTGCTCAGGAAACCTATTCTGGCTTTAGCCCCATGGACACTGCCATGGAAGGCCACACGCAGAGCCCAGGAGCTGCATATCAGCATCAGTTCTAGCTGACAGCCCAGTGGATGTGCAAGGTGCGCAGCTGGAATAATTGTTTAAGCCCAGACCGCAGAAAAAGGTGCACCTCACCGAACATGTCCGGCGTAGCAGCAGCATGGCAGCAACAAGTTTAGCAAACGTGCGTCGTAAATCCTTGCGCTCAGAGTGCAACGCGCGGTCAGATTCTAACACCTGGAGGCTTAGTATTTCAGGACATTGTGATGTTTTCAAGTGTGATTTTGGAAAAATACTTCAAAAAGAATTTTTCAGCAACAAAATATTTGAAAATTTGAAGTAGTTTAGCTTGGCCAGAGCTCGATGCACACGAAGCCGAAATGCGGCGCACCAATGTCACGAAGTGTCCGGCGTTGTGAATGTTTTTCAGACGAGTTTAAGACACCAGGTAAACCAACACCCGCAGCTTAGTGATGCGATAAATACTGTTCTCATCGGTACGAGTGGGTTCGGTTAGTCTGTTCACAGTGCGTAGTTATTCTGAATGGGCTGGGACCTGCTCGTTGAAACATCAGCCTATCCCGTCCCAACCCATGCTAGCTCCCCCCGTCACAGGTTTGGGCTGAGCTGAGCGCGTGTGAGCTGAGCTCGTGAGCTGAGCTGGCGTGGGAGTGCGTGACGATCCAGGAAGAGATGTGAGCGATGGAGACCACCTGGGGAGGGGTGTAAGCGTGAGTGAGACGACAGACCGCAAAGACGTGCTGTGAGGTAACTCTCTGGGGAGAGGTGTGTACGATCGAGACAGGCTGAAAAGAGGAGTGAGCCAGGTGGACCAGATAGGGAGAAGTGTGCACGAGTGAAACCAGTTGGGGAGAGGCGAGAGCGTGAGTGAGACAGATCGCAAAGGCGTGTGAGGTAGCTCACTGGAGAGAGGTGTACGTGATTGGGACAAGTTTGGCGAGGAATGAGCCAGGTGGACCACATGGGGAGAGGTGAGAGCTAGTGCCGCCAGCCACTCTGGCGACATGAACATGGCCAACATCCCCAGTCGGATTCCGACCGTTCGCATAAAGCGCATGGATCGCTTACCGTACTGCACGGGACTGCTGAACTCGTATAATCCGCGGAAGAGCTTATGAATAGTCGACCGGGCTAATTATTCGAGCTCTGGACGTCTTTTGAGTTTGACCGAGGGATTTTGGTTCACCTGATGCAAACCATAGCGGAAAGAAATATATCACATTGCCGTAGCACAATTTGAAACACAGCAAAATAGAGCATGCGGAAGGCCTGGAAATTCCTTCGACTCTCAGTCAAACCGCTTGACAGCAGTGTTACCAAATGTCAATGTTACCAGATCTGTCTGTGTCGTCAGCGAGGCGGAAATCCACCAGATGTGGGACCGGCTGCAGCGGGAGGCGCCGGACGCGGGGCCGGCACTGGTCGACACGTTCGCGCGACTCCTGGGAGACATCTCGGGCCGCGTGCGCCGCTGCCGAACCGAGCAGGAGACGCTGGAGACGGCTCTGAGGCAACAGCAGGACACCATGCAGACGCAGGTAGAAGGCGGGTGGCCAGACGGGCATGTGGACCCGGATGACAGACGGACGTGTGGGCCCCGGTGACAGACGGACGTGCGGACCCAAGTGACAGACTTCCAGATGTGCACCTGTACATGCAGAGAGTTTGATAAACGCCAAGCTGGACAGATATGCACGTGGCACGTGAGCCCGTTCGACGTGTATTTGAATTTCGTTGATACCAATTCAGATAAGGAGATAGGCATACCAATATAAGTGAGAGACATCAGACGCATAGAAGGGCATGTATGCTCGGGCAGTGCCGATAGGCACGAAGACTCAGCATATGACTGAAATGTGGACAGAAAGGCGTTTGGACGCTGGTGCTGTTCCCGCTGGTGCCATTCTCGTTGATGGACATCTCGAGATGTACAGGCTCAGAAGACAAGCATGCAGGAAGGTATCCACAGCTCGGTGGGAGCGGCAAGTGACAGGAGCTGTGTCACGCTGTGTTGCACTCCCTCTCTGGTGGATCCCTGTCATGTAGACTATCTGAGTTCAGGTCGAGTGGCTCGCCGAACGGCATGCAGACACGCCTGAACACTATAGATACGCCTGAATGCTGCAGACACGCCTGAACACTATAGGTGCGCCTGAACACTACAGACGCACCTTAATACTGCAGAAATGCCTGAACCCTACAGATACGCCTGAATGCTACAGACACGTCTGGACACTACAGATACGCCTAAAGACTACAGACACGCTTGAACACTACAGGCGCGCCAGAACACGTCAGGCGCGCCTTAATACTGTAGAAACGCCTGAACACTACAGATACGCCGGAATACTGCAGACACGCCTGAGCACCACAGGCGCGCATGAACACTACAGACGCGCCTGCATATCACAGATACGCCTGACCACTACAGACACGCTTGAACACTACAGGCGCGCCTGAACACTTCAGACGCGCCTTAATGCTGCAGAAACGCCCGAACACCGCAGGCGCGTCTGAACACTACAAACACGCCTGAACACTTCAGTCATGCCTGAACACTACAGACACGTCTGAACGCTGCAGACACGCCTGGAAACTGCAGACACGCATGAACATTACAACACTCCTGCACTCTACAGACACGCCTGCACTCTACAGACACGCCTGAACACTACAGACATGCGTGATCGCGACAGATACGCCTGAACACTACAAACACGCATGAACACTACAGACACGCCTGAACACTGCAGACACGCATGAATACTACAACACGCCTGCACACTAGAGACACGTCTGAACGCTGCAGACACGCCTGGACACTGCAGACACGCATGAACATTACAACACGCCTGCACTCTACAGACAAGCCCGCACTCTACAGACAAGCCCGCACTCTACAGACACGCCTGAACGCTGCAGACACGCCTGAGCACTGCAAAGAGCAGCTTCAGAGAGGCATGCATAATGAGCATTTTTGCTGCTGATTGTGGTTATTATCGCAGAGGCAGGTGCTGGTCCAAAAAGGTCAGATGATTACAACGCGCACTGAGAGCGTCCAAATCTGCACCAACCTCTTGTTTTTATAGCATGACAATTAAGCGCTGCAAGAAAATGATGCATAAGGCATATTCTGATGATGCAGCGAGACCTGCAGTGAACCAAAAACGAAATAAATTGCCTGAGACCTTAGTAAAAACCTCCAAATATCATAATTGCGGACCACCATGGTTGGCGGCTGGCCTTACTTTCCAGCGAGGTTCGCGGGATGGCAAAGCTACGATAGAATGGAAGTGGTTTCACCGATGACTGTCTATGCGCGATACCATTCATAGAAAAGTGTTTTGCATTGTGTGGCCCCCCATTCAGTTCAGCCTACGCCGCCTCCAAATGGCACGAGGCTGGCCACCGTCCCATACGTCTGCCCGAGGCTGGCCACCGTCCCATACGTCTGCCCGAGGCTGGCCACCGTCCCATACGTCTGCCCGAGGCTGGCCACCGTCCCATACGTCTGCCCGAGGCTGGTCACCGTCCCATACGTCTGCCCGAGGCTGGCCACCGTCCCATACGTCTGCCCGAGGCTGGTCACCGTCCCATACGTCTGCCCGAGGCTGGCCACCGTCCCATACGTTTGCCCGAGGCTGGTCACCGTCCCATACGTCTGCCCGAGGCTGGCCACCGTCCCATACGTCTGCCCGAGGCTGGCCACCGTCCCATACGTTTGCCCGAGGCTGGCCACCGTCCCATACGTCTGCCCGAGGCTGGCCACCGTCCCATACGTCTGCCCGAGGCTGGTCACCGTCCCATACGTTTGCCCGAGGCTGGCCACCGTCCCATACGTCTGCCCGAGGCTGGCCTTCGTCCTATGCATTTGTCGTAGGCTGGCCACCGTCCCATTATATCAGCATTAATGATCAGCATTTACGGCATCATACCCTTCCAATTATTATCTGACAATGTAGAGGCTTGTGTATTACTTGGATCAACTATAGTGGGAAGCTGATGGGCTCACATATTTCTCCCTCCAGGGGCTGCCATTCGAACGGGCAGTTCATAGCACATGCAAAAGTTGTTTTATTTGTTTTTAAGCAAAGAGAACTGGCGCACATCCTTCCAGGGATCGTCAGCGATTGCAGTGCCAATATAAGCGCTCCGGGCTGTGGTGCAACAGGGGCTCTAAACACGAACATATCGGATGCATCCACGTTTTCGTCTCCGGAGTTCTCCGACATTTTTGCGATGACTTTTCCGCTGACACCGAGCGGAAGGTCATGATACACCGCTCGTCCTCCAGACGGGGTCATAGGTCCTGGACTTCTTGTCTTGCTCCTTTGAGACCGGCCCTGAAATTTTTGGTTTTCTTTTTCCTTCCAGCTGCAATTTGATATCAAATATTATACCTTTCATCCCCTGAAAGCCATCTTTAATTGTAGTGCTAGAAACATCGAAATCACGTCGGTTTATTTGTCGGTGTGAGTGTTCACTGACAACCAAAAAGTTGATCACTCGGTGGCGCCCAGCCTGGTCCTAGCGCCAGCTGATGTTGTTCGCCGTCTGTGCATCAATGGTCTACGCTGACGTGACCAGCATCAGACCAGATGGTCGGTCAGGCGGGAAGGTGAGAACCGGCATGAGATGGCGTCCGTGAGATGGAGGTGGGCGGCGCGAGATGGCGTCCGTGAGATGGAGATGGGCAGCGGGAGATGGCGTCCGTGAGATGGAGATGGGCAGCGGGAGATGGCGTCCGTGAGATGGAGATGGGCAGCGGGAGATGGCGTCCGTGAGATGGGGATGGGCAGCGGGAGACGGCGTCTGCGAGATGGAGATGGGCAGCTGGAAATGGCGTCCGTGAGATGGAGATGGGCAGTGGGAGATGGCGTCCGTGAGATGGAGATGGGCAGTGGGAGATGGCGTCCGTGAGACGGAGATGGGCAGCTGGAGATGGCGGCGTACGTGTTTGATCCACCCTGCACCTCCGCGTGAACAGACTGTCTAGAGTGTCTTGACATCAAAAAGATCGTTTCCCGTTTATGCCCATGCGTTTGGACCGGGCAAATTGGTTCGTTGGCCTCATAGACAGGTGGAGGAAGGACCAGCATCCCCTAGTATCTGAACCGCGCTTCAACGCCCCCGTCCTGGGGTCCAAATAACGATGCAACATAATTCACCCGAACATTGTGGGACAGCACGAAGGGGTACATGATTTATTTCCTTTCCCTCTGAGTTCTGACGTCACTGGGGACGGATCTGCCGGAGGGCTCGGGAGTGGCGCCTCGCTGGCCGCCTCTGAAGCTGCTGACGACTTTTCGTCACTTCGGGTGGTCGTCGCTCGTAACATAAAAGACGACAGGCGCAACTTTTCCACGCCAGCGATCAAAGGGCCGGCACACGCTTCTTCTGCTCAGGCAAAGCCATCGCTTGGCTGACTCATCTGCAGAGAGTGAAAGGCCTTTCACATGTGCCCCGCACGGTTTTGCAATAGACGTTGCCGCGTATTGGATGTGTGCGTCGTCTCTGCCTTCAGAGCACACATACATTCGCAGGAGGATGCGTCGCAACGGGCTTGATTTCTTGTTTTTTCTCATGTGGATTGATGCCTTTCATGAGCACGCCTTCTCTTTGTCGAATCTTCCACTGGACTGAGGGCTGTCATACGAAGAATAATCGACCTTCAACGTACAAGGAGGCAGTGGATAAGTGACGTTATAAAGAACAAACATTGGCTCGACGCTGTATGCTGTAATTATGGTCAACAGAAAAGCCCGTGACTACGGGCGCAGCTTGAAACGTCGAGTTTTGTGCTTGATAACGTCAGTTAACCAGTACCTGTTGGTGTATCACCGGTCATTTGTTCTTAAAACATCAGCTCCCCATTAGAAATGACGAAACACTATGACCTCGGGGGTTTCCTTACTTTTCAAGAATTGTAAAATATGCATACGGATTTTGAGCGTCCAATGTCGTCCGATTTTCTTGCTTTTCAATAATGGGTGGTGCAACTGGTTCCTTTTTTCTTTGTCGGCTGATTCACTGTCTGACTATTACCACGCCACTGTGCTGCAGATGAAGAACATGTTTGAAGAAATGGAGGCACAAATTGCAGCGGAGAGGAACAAAAACACTAAGGAGGTAAGCGCGTGTCTGCCTTGGCTGCGACGACAAATTTCCGCCTGTGATGCGTGCGACACAATACTTTAATGTTAAACGTCGTAGCATCGGTATATCGTGTTCTCTTTTGTCGTAATTTGAGGCCCTAAGACTGGCGCCCAGTGTCGCTTAAATACGAATCCAGCACCTCTCCCCAGACCACAGAGGCTACGAGGTTAAGCGAATCCGCTTCCGAGTCCACTAATTAAGAGTTCTGAGGAATCCACGTATTGAGAGTGCTGAGGCTGAGTTCGGACGAGATTGCGAGCCTGGTCGAACTGGGCCCAGGAACCAGGCACTGGGACCGACGCGGCACATCTCCGTCGGCAGGAAGAGCAGAGGCAGCTCAAGATCCGCGAGGAGCTGGAGTCACAAGTGGCCATCAAGGAGCTGGAGGCGCAGATGACGCGTCAACAGTGAGTCGCCGGTGTCTGAAGTGAGGCTCATGCTCAGGTGACCTTCAGCGAGCCTGGTGCTCAGATGACCGCCAAAGCGAGCCGCCGGCGTCCAAAGTAAGACTCACGCCCAGATGGCTGCCAAAGGGAGTCGCGGATGTCTTTAGTGATGCTCACGCTCAGGTGACCTCGATCGAGAGTTATGCTCTGATGACTCTGCTGAAGGGAGTCGCGGATGTCTTCAGCGAGGCTCACGTTCATGTGACCTTTAAGGAGGCTAATGCTCAGATAACTGCCAAAGGGGGTCGCCGGTGTCTTAAGCGAGGCTCATGCTCAGATGACTCCGCCGAAGGGAGTTGCGGCTGATGCGTTCGCTCGTTGTTAGCTGACTGTGGCTGCGCGCCGTTGTCGTTGTCGATGCTAGCATCCCATCTATCAAACTGCCTTTTTCCATGCCCTGCGGTATTACAGCTGAAGGCAAGATACAGCTGGCGGTGCAGGTAGGCATAGATATGAAGGCAGGCTATAGCCGGCGCGACAAGAAGCGTGGCGTGGTTTTATCGGGGCTTGTGTAGCAAGCGCCTGAACGTTGTTTGCCTGAAGGGTGCAGCCGCGATTAGTGCCGTTGGAGCCGGCTTAAAGCCTTAGAGATGGGCATCCAGCACCATTTGCATCTTTTCGCTCACCATTTAGTGCTAGGAGTATTTTTGGTCAAAAATTCAGTAGCCACGTGATACATAAGCTCAGTGACAAAGAAGCTTGCAGCAGAGAATTAAAGCGAGTAGGGTTTGCGCGTACATGAGAGTTGAGGATGCCTGTAGTTCGAATATCTGTTTCCGACAACGCAACAATTGATTTTATAGAGTCTAATGATGTCGATAAACAAGAAGATATCTCCTGTTTGCTTTCGACTTTGATACGATTCTACAGAAAATGCAGCCTAAAGCGCCAACGATAGTCACTGGATGCACAAGGACATCTGCTTTATATTAACTTCCCCAGGCGCAAAATGAGAAGGCAGCTATAATCGATTGCCTGCCATTTTCTTCTCGTAATGGCTATGACTGGGTGTTGCCGTACGCTTCGCAAAAAGGACGATATGCGCTATAAGGCTGCTCGCATGACTAATGAAATGCGGAAGCAACAGCTATTAGCATCGTTTCGCTCTATGCATAATTGGGACCTGCGCGAAAAGGGCGGCGTGCGGCCAAAAAGTCGACTCGCAGTTTGCCGAATGCATTTTTGTCGACTGCTATATAACGACTTCCATGTTGGCCGCGTGTGAATGTCGACGCGATAACAGCTCGAATGGGCAGCATTGGGAATGCAAAGCTGAAAAATGCAAGAAGCGAAGTTAAAACTGAAAAATTGGGCGTGTAAAAAGGTCGTTGATAGGCAAAAAAAGCGAACGATTAACTGTCGTTGAACTGACTAAACGTCATCTTTGAGCAAATGGCGACAAGGGAAAATAGCAACATACCGAAGTGACACAAAGCCAAATAACTACATCAGAAACAAGCTGAAGTGGTAAAAGCAGACCGCGAAGTTCTCCAAGGCACATAGAATGAGTAATTCCTATTCGATCTTTTAGGGCAGTTGAGTCTGACGACCATGACCTTGGTTACCGACCAGCCGTTCCTGTTCCCTTCCTTCTGCGGGAACCGAGAACAGAGAGAGAATAGAGAGAGATAGAGAGAGAGGGAGAGAGAGAGAGAGAGAGAGAGAGAGAGAGAGAGAGAGAGAGAGAGAGAGAGAGAGAGAGAGAGAGAGAGAGCGAGAGAGAGAGGAGAAGAGAGAGAAGAGAGAGAGAGAGAGAGAGAGAGAGAGAGAGAGAGAGAGAGAGAGAGAGAGAGGAGAGAGGAGAGAGAGAGAGAGAGAGAGAGCAGGAGAGGAGAGAGAGGAGAGAGGAGAGAGAGAGAGAGAGAGAGAGAGAGAGAGAGAGAGAGAGAGAGAAAGAGAGAGGAGAGAGAGAGAGAGACCGATGTCTTTTCCGCATCTTGACCTTGTTTACTCACAGACGCACATATGTTTTAATACAATATTTGCACGGCATCGGGATCTGCAACGTCCGGACAAATGGCGACTTGCACCTCGCCGAATGTTTTTTTACCGGCTCCATTAAACGACCTCCATATTGACGACATGTAAAAATGTTGACGAGTCAAAAAGTCGAATTGGCTAAATGGTCAACTACAAAACGGCGCCATGGAGGATTGAATACGTGCTAAAACTGTGAAAGGCTGAACGATGAGCTGCAAATAATGGCGACATACCATTACGGCAAAAATGCCAAAATGGTGAACTGCGAGACTGTGACACGTAAAAAAGGCAGTATGTTAATTTGGCGAACGGCTAAATGGTGAGCTGTTCATATAGAATGTTCCACATTTGAAGATGCTGAGGCAAGTTTCAGATATGATTGAAAACGTTTCCATGTCACTATTTACCAGCACCAACACAAAATTCAAATATTATCTTTTTATATTTCGGCATTTGGACGTTGACCAATATGGTACTCATGTTTTGCAAGGTCCCTATTTCGCTTCGCACAACTTAGCCGTTCGCCAAACAAGTATGTTAAGTTGTTATCTGTCGCCATTGTGCGGTTTGCCGTTAAGCTTTTCGCCATTTCTTCGCGTCGATATTCTTACATTTCGCCTTTTTGCAGTCCGCCACGTAGTCGTTTCAACTCTCCGTCGCGTCGACTTTTTTTCATGTTGCCATTTTGCAGTCGCCGCTCAGCAGCTCACAGAAAAAGTACTCACCAAATGGGATTTTTGACTTTTTGTCCCAGACCCAAACAGGGCACAGGCTGAGCACATATAAGGTGTGATGTTGATGCGCACTAAAATCCCAAATCGTCATCATCATCACCCCTACGACTATTGTTGAAATCTGCTTTTTTGCACAGCAGCTAAAAATTGAAAGCGCTCACATGAGTCTGCTACGAATTACCATGAGATTAAGCACAACCATTGTTGCATGGTTGTTTACATGCTCCTTCTTTTTATATTTGACCTATCGTCATTGCGGAGGTGTAGAATCGTTACATAACGCTGACCGTCCGCCGCCGTTATGTAACGTTTAATCTCACATTAGCTGCTTCCTCGCCCTTGTAGCGGTGCGCATTTGGTGGATTTCCCTAGATCTGTTGCGGCTGTCGAAAGTGTGTGTCGCACGCTACCCATTTGAAGCGTGATCGACGACGCCTGACGTCATGTCCAGGCCTGCGAACTAAAGCACGTGCGCTTCAGCCTTGATTGTGGGCGACCGCTCGCGATGCTGAGCTGGACAGCGTTCACTCGGGCAGCAGGCGTGGGAAACTGCTGCCCGTTGCGTAATGTATAAGTCTGCTGTGTAATGTATATTTCATAAGTTAAAACGTGAGCCTGAGAAGTAAGGTGGAAGCTGTGCATGCCCCGCGCGCCACTGTTCCAAGACTTGTCGGTGAGGGGGCGCTGCTGAGCTAAGATTTACCAGTGGGGGTGTGCTGCTGAGCTAAGACTTGTCAGTGGGGGTGTGCTGCTGAGCTAAGACTTACCAGTGAGGGTATGCTGCTGAGCTAAGGCTTGTCAGTGAGGGTATGCTGCTGAGCTAAGACTTGTCAGTGAGGGACCGCTGCTGAGCTAAGACTTGCCAGTGGGGGTGTGCTGCTGAGCTAAGACTTGCCAGTGAGGGAGCACTGATGTTCTAAGACTTGTAATTGAGGGACCGCTGCTGAGCGAAGACTTACCAGTGAGGGTGTGATGCTGAGCTAAGAGTTGCCAGTGAGGGAGCACTGCTGAGCTAAGATTTGCCGGTGAGAGTGCGACGCTAGGCCACGATTTGGCGGTTGTGGAACGCTGCTGAGCTACTTCTCTCGCAGCACGACAGCTTGCAAACCAACATGGCGTTGCTGTGGGGCCCAACCAGGACCAGTGCTGTTTCTTTCGCAACATGTTGCGCAATCGCAATCGTATACGTGCATGGGAATATGAGACACGCTACAAAGAAAGAGAAAGCAGCACTTCGTTAGTGTCAGCAATTGATTATTAATATATTATATATTATATATATATATATAATTTATTATATTACATTGATTACATACATTATATAAATATTACATATACATAGTCTATTGTTAATTGCTGACACTAACGAAGTGCTGTTTTCCCTGTCTTTGTAGCGTGTCTCATATTCCCATGCACGTGTGCGGATACGATTGTGCACTATGTTCCCATACATATATATATATATATATATATATATATATATATATATATATATATATATATGTCTCTCTCTCTCTCTCTCTCTCTCTCTCTCTCTCTCTCTCTCTCTCTCTCTCTCTCTCTCTCTCTCTCCTCTCTCTCTCTCTCCTCTCTCTCTCTCTCTCTCTCCTCTCTCTCTCTCTCTCTCTCTCTCTCTCTCTCTCTCTCTCTCTCTCTCTCTCTCTCTCTCTCTCTCTCTCTCTCTCTCTCTCTCTTCTCTCCTCTCTCTCTCTCTCTCTCTCTCTCTCTCTCTCTCTCTCTCTCTCTCTCTCTCTCTCTCTCTCTCTCTCTTTCTCTCTATATATATAGACATAAATGATAAAGACACTAGTAATGCACCCGCCGAGGGAGCTTCGAAATTTGGAAACAAGACTTCGTTAGTGTCAGCAGTTGATTACCAATAGATCAAAGAGTAATACAAAAGCTCTAGATATATATGATGGGGCCATTAATCATGCACACGCCGAGAGAGTTTCTATATTATAATGTGTCTATTTTTTGTCAATGTTGTTGAAACAAATCGATATATTTGTTTGTCACCGACTAATAGCCTTTCTAAGGTTAAAATCCTGATGTGTCTTTTGGAGGCTGAGGGACATTGATCATATTATTTTTACTCCGATGAGCACAAACACATTACCAAATGCCTACATTGCAATTGTCAGGTAAAAAAGAGTCTGGAGACATGCGTCGTAAGACTAAACTGAAAGTTTTCCAGCTTTGACTTTACGACCTTGACCTACTCACTTCAGTTTGACTCCAAACCAGCTCAAAGCCATTCCATCTCAGCTTTAAAAGGGAAACAGTGTTTTAGAATACGTTTAAAGTTGTATGATCTTACAATCGCTTCCGGTGGCAATCGCTTCCGGTTCCGGTGAACAGTGGCGACTGAATCCTGCTCTCAGGTGGTGCCGCGTTAAAGGGAGTGTCCCACCTTTTCTGCATATTTCACTTGATGTTACGTCATATGCCTGTGAGGCTGGTCAGCAATATATACCAGTTCTTTGAAATCCCTCTGATTAACACAGAATTTTGATTTCATGTAGCCAACCCTGCGAGAGCTCTCATTTGGCTCGCTGCTCACCACTATGAAGGCAATACACTCAATTTGCCTTGTTTTTCCAACGTGTGTGTTCCGTAATGTTTGCAACACACATATGTATCAAAATGGTTGTGTAATGCGTGCTAAGAAAGCTTGAAACTCTTTTTTTGGACAAATAGATATGCGAACGTAGGTCATTATTCCGCGAATTCAGCGAAACGTCATACTATGGCTTTTATTTCTCGCACTTCTACCGTTATGGCTTTTACCACAGCGACCCTTTTCGAGGCGCACTTTGTCTTTGGAAACGGGAGTGTCACGCGATTCCTGTAACGCACTGGCTCAAACTGTAACCAATGCGTATCTTCATGATCGACCCTTACCCGCCGGACTAATCGCAAAGGTTATTTTATTAGCACCAGTGGAGGTGTGCATGCTGGTTGTCATGACAATGGTGGCGGCAGTCGGGTGAAGAAGCGTAATATTTTACAAAGTATTGATAGTGTAAGCTGACGCGGAAAATGATTAAATTTGATTTCTTTGTTATGTCCTGGCGGTGCTGCAGTGGTTCTACCCAGCGCTCTTATTAGACTGACTAGTCTTGAGTCTCACTGGAGTATGTTTTTCTTTAAATATGCACAAAAGGTTGGAGAGTCCCTTTTTAAGCGAATGTTCAACATTTGGAAATATGGAGACCAGATCAGGTGCGATGCAAAAGTTCATTTGTAACTAATAGTACACAAGCGGCTGTTCTAAATAACTCAATCTCAACATTTGTTAAATACACTGCTCAATACGTCATCGTTTGATGACGTCATGAAAACCCTTTATGACATCAGAGTCGCTGCCAGACTGGCCTTGTCAGAATGTTTACTGTGGCGACTGACTTGTAGTACCTTAACTTGCCGAAATGTGGTGATGTTTGCTGACGCATGCTCGATCAAGGCGAGTGTCTTCATGTGTTCATGCTTTGATTTTTCTCATGGTGTCCTTGCATATTTGCCAGTGATTTTACTTTTTTTCCTTGAGTTTACGTTCTACGTTATTGCGTTATTCTGTTATTTAAATCCCAGTCTCATTTCCGTTCCACTGTCACTGCCCCGGTCTGCATCATGTAACACAAACCGTGCTTCGCGATATAAACTTGCATTCAACGCATGACATTAGAAAAATGCCAGCTGAAGACGTTGTCTTCAGCTGGCCTTCTTGCCGTAAATTGCGCCGACGTAGGCCAGACAGAGATAATTTGATGACCACATTTCCCTTGACCTTGAGCTCTACAGAGCCAATAAGGTGGCGGCATTTCCGTGAATTTTTTATTGCATCATGGTTAATTAGGCGATCTAGAAATGGTCTGCATGGTATAGTCCGCCCAAGTTTGCAAGGGTCAAGCTCAGAAACAAGAGTGCTTTAGGTTTGAAAACGGCGTAGTGGTCAACTGCATTGAACGATGTCCAGAGCACCTAACTTGATTCAAAACTCCATACAAATGTGGGAGCACTTTCATTCATTTTCTGGAATGTTTGCTCTTAAAAAGAAGCTACGTCCATTTCGGTTCAAAAAGTAAAGCCTCCGTTGGTGCTTAACTCCTCCGCTAGGGATGTTGATTCTCTTCTCATGTCTTTCATGTTTACCTGCAATAGAAGATTCGTACTCTAGCGCAAGCCACAGGTTCCCCGGTCCTGACCGGTGCGAGCCGTAGATTTTCGGGCTTTGGCTGGTGCAAGCTGCAGATTTCCCGGCTCTGGCCAGCAAAAGCTGCAGATTTCCCGGCTCTGGCCAGCAAAAGCTGCAGATTTCCCGGCTCTGGCCAGCAAAAGCCGCAGATTTCTCGGCTCTGGCCAGCAAAAGGTGCAGATTTCCCGGCTCTGGCCAGCAAAAGCTGCAGATTTCCCGGCTCTGGCGAGGAAAAGCTGCAGATTTCCCGGCTCTGGCCAGCAAAAGCTGCAGATTTCCCGGCTCTGGCCAGTAAAAGCTGCAGATTTCCCGGCTCTGGCCAGCAAAAGCTGCAGATTTGCCGGCTCTGGCCAGCAAAAGCTGCAGATTTCCCGGCTCTGGCCAGCAAAAGCTGCAGATTTCCCGGCTCTGGCTGGTGCAAGCCGTAAATTTCCCTGATCTGCCCGGGGTCGGCGGTTGGACGAGACGCCCCAATGAAATGAACATCGCGGTAGTTCGATTGGTCGTACAAATGCATGTCATGCTCACCGATGACATGGGAGTGGCAATGCTACGGCGTGTAGATATTTTTATGAAGTGCTGATTTAGGCGCCGATATGTGCAACGTAAATGCCTCTATGGCAGATGGAACGGTTGACGAACTAATGAAGCTAGTCTGGGATTCAAGTTGGCTGAATCCGTGCGATTCAAACTGCTGACTGTTGATGAAAATATGATCCCTCTTGATGCTGCCTATTGCCTGGTTGCTGATTCTATCTATAATGTGTTGCACAGCCGCTTATTGGTGGAGGCATGGCTGGACATTTACACTGGATATTTTTAATTTTTTCCAAACCTCGTGAATGGATATATTTTTCAGGTCAGAGTACACGCTAAATAGTGCTAAAAATTGTTGCGTGAGTTCGGACCCCCACTATTCGATCGCGAAGCCCCAGATGAATAACAGACTTCGGTAGCGAGACATTAACGTGCCGCAACGCTCGGCGCGGTCCGTCCTGCCTTCCGATGTCATCTGACCTCTACCATGGCTAGAGGTCATGCCTGTCAAAGGCAATTAGCGAGCGCTTAAAGCGACTCGGACCCACCTCGCTACCGGTGGATGGATGGGAAGGCTGGTGCTCTGACCAACTGAGCTACGGGTGGATGGATGGGAAGGCTGGCACACACGCACGCACGCACGCACGCACGCACGCACGCACGCACGCACGCACGCACGCACGCACGCACACACACACACCACACACACACACACACACACACACACACACACACACACACACACACACACGCACACACACACACACACACACGCGCGCGCGCGCGCGCGCAAAAACGTGGTTTACCACATAACCAAGTGCATCAACAAGGCTCATTCGAATAGGCACCTTGCAGTAGTCAATGTGACCACTTGATATACTCACGAAATAATTAAATTGTAGGTGGTTTATTTATTGGCAAAGGTTACAATACGCGAGTGGCTTTGGAGAAAGGCGTTGGTTACAGTGCACCACAACGGTTTAACCGCTTTTTCAATGTTGAAATGATGCTGAGAGAAATATTCGTCGGCCTACGAGGCTCCAGTCTGCTGCCTTAGATAAGTCTGCCACCATAGCTCCAGTGCGCCACTGTAGCTCAGTCAGAGCGCTAAGACGGGGTAAGGGCGCTAAACGGGCGGTTATATCGCGCGTCCTCCCGTCGCCGAGTTGTCGGTATCGGACCGACTCGATGCTAGGTGCTCGCCCGTGACTGGGATGGTTTACGGTCGCTGGCAGCGGCCGCGTAAGGTCAGATGAGGCTGGATGATTCGGTGGACCGTGGCGAACATTGCAAAAGTGTGAAACGTTAATTACAAAATTATAACGATTAATTAAAATTATTGGATGGAACTGTGCGGCCAGGGTGCATGCGACAAGCACTGCTCAGCCTGGGCTCTGGCCGCTGAATCCATCAAAAGGTTCACACCAAATGAAAACTGGAAAGAATGGAGGCAACGTATCTACGCATCGTAACGCATCTATGTCAGAAGTCCTGTTGTGCTGCGTCTGGTTATCGCCTCGCGTGCATTCCCAGTGATCTTTACTTCATCGTCTAATTAGTCATTCCATGACTGGATGGGAATTCCAGGAAGATCGCGGGTGTGGGCGCCAGCTGGTGCACAGTTTCAAAATTTCGGATATTCTGTAAGATATGACAGATGACTTGATGAGCTACACGAATCAAACCCAACATTATCCGTGCCTGCATGACCTTTTACAGCTATTGAAGTCAAATGGCAAGCCGAGGTGGCGGTAGTTCTGAAGTCTTTTCCTTTTAGAACTGAAACCTTGCAAATTTGCAAACGAGCTGACGGGCTGGAGAACATTTAAACCGAATAGACCTTCATTTACCGTAATGATGTAAGACAACTTTAAAAACTTTCACGGTAGGCGTCAAAAACAAGAAAATTGCCCACTTTTTAAGATATATGCATACACATACACATGTATATGTATGTATCTATACACCTGTAACATACACCTGTTTTGTGGCGCTGGAACATATGAGGCTCCAGTTGTGTCCTTCACTTCATGTGAGGCATTGCGGTGACAGTGATGACGTTCAGCCTCGCTCGGTCTGATCGCTCTTTCCTGCAGACTCGCCGACGTTACGTCACAGCTGCAGAAGCTCTCCTCGTCTGATTCCCAGCAGCGGCAGGAGAATGCACAGCTGCAAAAGCAAAAGGTAAAGTGTCATGCCTTGCACCTCCATGCCTTGCATCACGGGTTGCTTGGTCCGCATCGCAGGTCCTGTTTTGGAAGCAGGTTTGAAAGGAGAGATTTGTGTCGTTATAACTCTACGAATGTAGTTTCAGCTCCGTTTTTGCCCTTAGTCTGCCTCTGAAATCATTAGACAACCACGAAGATCCGCATTTGAAGTGCATGTCCCCCTAATAACGACCACTCACTCATGAACAGGTCTCCAAGAAAGAAGAAAACGAGGTTACAAATTGCAAATGTATATATATATATATATATATATATATATATATATATATATATGCATATATCAAAGGTATCATCAATTTGTGTCATTTCCCGCTACCGTGAACATCTTTTGAAAGTGTTTTTGCAAGTGAATTACCGGAATCAGGAGAGCAGTTGCCAGTAACAGTAACAACATATGTCCATGAGAGCTGCTTTCAATCTCCTCTCTCTCCTCTCTCCTCTCTCTCTCTCTTCCTCTTCTCTCTCTCTCTCTCTCTCTCTCTCTCTCTCTCTCTTCTCTCTCTCTCCTCTCTCTCTCTCTCTCTCTCTCTCTCTCTCCTCTCTCTCTCTCTCTTCTCTCTCTCTCTCTCTCTCTCTCTCTCTCTCTCTCTTCTCTCTCTCTCTCTCTCTCTCTCTCTCTCTCTCTCTCTCTCTCTCTCTCCTCTCTCTCTCTCTTCTCTCTCTCTCTCACTCTCTCCAAACCTAGTTGCTGTGTTAGATACTGTAATGAAACTGTTCACTTTGTTTTTGCTTACCGTAATGATCAGTGTCCTGTGTTCAACGGCTGAACCGTTTTACATATTTATGCAGTTCTTTGTACACCGGCAAGACATTTTTGTCATGTCCTGACATGCTGTCATGCCGGCATGCGCTGCTGCAGATTACGCCTGGGGCTTTAAGGAGGGAATGTCATCACTGTGACACAAAAACGCCTGCGGTTGGCGCAGTTCTTGTTGGTAACCTACACAGATAAGCTACACCGATGCTTCGGGGTAATCCTCTTGCACTTGTAGTCAGGCAGGCATTCGCTGACGCAAGGCGCCCCGATGGCAATTGACAAACGCATTACCAATATATAGGGTGGTTTTGGCCTTGACCATTTACTGCATCCGTGTTTGTAGAAATGTGTGCGCTTTATGTGCAGATGAAAAACACACGATGCCTAAAAACACTGCGTTTCTGCCATACGAAAAGGACTACACTCCAGGGATCTCCACCGAAGTGACCACAGCGAGACTAGATGTTCGCCAACCGTTCGTGAACTGTGTGAACGAATTACTCTCCGTTTTTGTTCATGTGTGTTCCTTTTCGACATATCGGCCAGTCGGCCAGCCGTTCGTGAACAGTCCGTGTTTACTCCTTAGTTGAATTTAGGGGTCAGCCAGCCCTGCTTTATAGTTTATCCGCTCGCACACTCACAGAAAAACCAGCCTGAAACGTGGAGCACTGTAAATATAGCCGATATTTGTTTTATAACGTCGTTTAACCAGTACCTCCTGGTGTAGCAAAGATCGATAACTCGGTCGTGAAAACTCCCAACTGAAAGCGCCAAAAAAGGATCTGAAGGTCTTCCTTGCCTATACCAAATACCACGATGTGCTGTGAGCAATTTGTGTTTTCAAACAAAGGTGTGCTCCGCTTCCTTGAGAGAACACTACGATAGTCTTTAAGTTTTTCTTTATTTTCCGATCTTCATCGATACTTGCGATAGCTGTGTTTGTGGTTGGTGGAGACATTTTACACATTTGTGTTAACACGGGAGGATGAGAATGAATGAGTTAAGAATGCTTCACTTTCCGTGTCTTTAAACTAAAATGCGGCGGGAAACTCATATCTGGAGTGGGTGATGATCACGGAGAAATGAGTCCGACATCAGCGGGGTTTTTACAGCCCCGCTTCTCTCTGTGCAATTATGGACGAGTGATATTCTGGTCAGATTGTGAAGAAAGCAGCATCGACCGGCTCCCGGTCCATTGCTGACCTTAGTGTGGGTAATGTTGTTGACACCGCTGAATACTTTGTTGGCGTCGTATTTACCCACACGTTGGAGTTCGTTTTTTATTTTGATCTGCGCTGGCAGCCACGATCTGACACCAGTCATTATCCTTATCCTCACACTCATGCCAGACATCATCACAATGCGCTGCTTCAGAGTGCATTATGGTGGACAAGCAATCAGAACGGGAGCGCCTGCGGACTGGAGACGACTCTATGAACGCTTATGAGAGACGTTTCAGGTCAAGGCGCAGGCTGTCGGAAGGCGTGTGAGCTGTACACGGTTCTTTAGCCGGTAGCGGCTGATGCTCGCCTCGAGTGGGTAATCAGTCCTTTATTTGCATGACGGTTGATGCTGTCTGAGAGATGTGCGACGCGGCTGGATTTCCAGGTCTGAATCAAGCAGCAATAGGGCGCATGTTTGACGTTACAGTTGAACGGGCTGGCTCCAGGAAATCATATCGGTAAAATCTGAGATGCGGTTGTATCTCGGCTTTAGGTTGCCCTTGAGCAGAATGGCTATACATTGACACCACATCGGTTGACAGCGTTTGATATCATATTGGCGTGATATTTGCAAAGGCGAAAAACTGGACAGTATGGATTAAAGAAAAATGCGTTATCGCCAAATACATTGCGTTTTGTTAATGCCTTTCCTTTGATGTTTTACCAAGCCAATTCAACGCATGATTGCACAAGTTAATTTAGTAAAATGTGATAGGTGGCTGGAAAGCACAACGACGTCCTTCATTTTCTCTTGCAACCGACTTGGTTGTGCTAGGCATTGCAGTAGCTTGACGGGAGAACTGGGGCGGGTGCGAAGCTGACACCCGACCTCACCCTCTTGTCTTCATCCCGTTTTGACGCTTGTCCTGTCCGGAGTGGCCCGTTTGACCACCCCCCCCCCCCCCCCCCACCCCCC